AGCTTGCATCCATGAATACTGATAGATTCAATGCCATACAGAGGAAATAACAAAGAAATAACATCTATGAGAAAAGCAGGTGACGGACTCTCCACCATAACTCTGCACCATACTGTGGCAACAGTATCATTCCTCTTCTCTCATTTCACAGTGCTTAATGTCCTGGTCGATAAAGCACAGGGACTTCAAAAAAAAAAAAAAAAAAAAAAAAAAAAGCAGATGTATATCAACATCAACTCCCAACATGGAGATAAGGAGGCCACAGTCACTGAATCCAGGACACCTTGATAGTCTTCTTTTTTTAATTAATTATGGTCAGTGTTTTGCAATCATTGCTTATAAAATGGCAATAGTCTTTACTGTGCAATATTTTGTGTGACAAACAGAAAAGCACTTGATTTCTGAACTACTTGATAATGCTACTTGATAATGTTTATATGTTTTAATCAAGTTTAGTCTTTGATTGATTTCTGATAGAATGGTGAGATGAGATGCTATTTTAAGATAAACTGATCTTTTGATGCTCAAATAATTTAAATAAAAATAATACAAAATGTATAGAAATCTCTGTGTTTAAATTAATGTAGCCAGTTCACTTTGAATCAGGTTCAAGGTCTGTCTTGTGATGTGAAGGCAAAGATTGATGAAGGTAATTTTCCATGCCTCTGCCATCACTGCACATGAGTTTTTGTTGGAGTAGGCTGAGGCACACAGCACACATTTTGGCTACAGAGGAAAGAAAGATGCCAAAACAAGAGGAAAAAAATGTCAACAAGAATATGAACATTAGGCAACAGCTCGATGTAAAGAAGAAGTGAAATAAAACTGTACTGATAATTGATTGATGTGGTTTAAAGCAACACAATGTAGAGGAAAGCAGGGGGTCTGGGGCACCCTCAATTCAATTTTGAACAGAACAGATATTATTTACAGTTTCATGGCATATTTTAGAAGCTGTGAATACAATATTGTTTCACTCCCTAATTATATAATTCTCACAGGTATCCATCATTTTTATATTAAATAGCCTATAATTTGTAATCCAGCCAAAAGTTGCATCTGGGACAAGTGTTTGTTTACCACATGATCCCTACCTCCATCACTTACATTTTTACTTACTGTTAATTCCAGTAAAAGCAGTCTTACCTTTAGCAGACATCTCCCTCAGACTAAATGAGCTCCTGTACTTTTAGTTGTTTGGCTTTAGGTGATTAATAAAATCTCTCTTCTGTGCCACTCCTACTCTGCCAACCACAAAATGCAGCAGAATGTGGCCCTAACTTAATGATGTAAAAATGAGCAAGTGCAAACCCAAGGCACGCTGACTTATTAAAAGTCCTTTAATACATAAGCCTTATGTAATAACAATGAGTCATTGTGCTTCGGGCCTTATGCAGTGTTTCCCCTACCATTAGGTGTGTTTTAATATAATCAGTCATTGTGCCTGGAGCGTTATGCAGTGTTTCCCCTTACATGTTGTCAGCAATGACAGTGAAGGCTGCTGCAGTTGGACAGCCCTACGACACTGCTACGTAGGCATCGGTAATATCGTGAGATCCTTTGACTACAAAGCCCAAATGTATGATGGGAAATGAAGTGCTGTCAAACACATGCACTGATAGCGGACTGACAGATAATTGATGCTGATCTGTTTTGATGTGGCCTGAAGGAGTGTTCCTCCCTCCTCTTTCTCTATCTCACATCTATCTAAGTTTATATCATAAAGTGTGTAAAATCAGACAGGATGGCCCAAGGTGTTGTATGATACATATAAAATGAGTGTTACATAGGCCTAACCTTGATAAGATAAAATGAATTTTCACCACAAATTGGGCATAAGTGTGTAAACTTTATAGTGAACTCTGTGTTCTTTGCTCTGTTGATGTGGGGTTAGTCAATGGTGTGAGAGGAAACAGGAGATTGCATTCACAGTTTTACGTAGGCCTAGTTTTATGTACTGCAACACTTGAACAGGGGATCTGTCCAGTCACTAGGACTTTGTGTGATCTGAGGCCGCCTGGCTGTTCTTAGGCTTGTGAAGTGTCCAAACTGATTTCAGCCAGTGTGGGCATTCCATTGGAACATGTTCCATAAACTAAGAACACTGAGGTAACTTCTGTTATTTCTGTGGTAATACAGGAAATCCACTGTGTTTTTAAACTCCACACACCTTCTCTAGAATCATTTGAATAATTTCAGCCCTGGAATTTCCCATTTAAACAAAACGTAAAAGGGAACAGTTAACTTGAAAACAGATATAGACAAATACATTTTACTCAAACATGTACGAATGAAACAAAACACAACTATGTTTTTAGTAGGTAACATTGTTTTTCACAAGAGTCAATTTCATGTAATACATTCATGAATGTTTAGATGTTACTGCTGTTATCATTTTGTCATACTTACTTCTTAATGTTTTGCAGCACATGTCCATGTCCCGACTCTACAGATTATGCAGCATATTGAATATCTTCAGATTGACTATTACTGTTCATGTTGAACATACTGCAAGTTCACACATTCATGGCATATTATGATGTTTTTGTTTTGTTTTTTGTTTTTACAGATACTTAATATTGAACTAAAACATAAAGGAATCATGAGTTTACTGTCTTTAATGGAAACTGCAATACTGATCTAAATGGCTTAGTTCATTTAGGATATTTTTAGGGTTAAGATTTGCATTACAATCTGACCAGTTATTAAACAAGTGGGTATTTTGGCCATATCATGATTTTTAGGCATATTCTCCGACTCCAAGCTGTATAAACTTGAATTCTTATTGGATTTAAGTATATCTGGTGATGTGTATTTGTCTAACAAGTAAGGGTGTGGAGGGTGTAAGGAGATCAACACCCTATATCAAGGTGTGCAGAATTATTAGACAGCTTCTTTCCTCAGGCAAATGGACCAAAAAAGAGATTTAACTGACTCTGAAAAGTCAAAAGTTGTGAAAAGTCTTTCAGAGGGATGCAGCACTCTTGAAATTGCAAAGATACTCGGGCATGATCATAGAACCATCAACCGTTTTGTTCTAAGCATTTTGTTGAGAAAAAAAAGATGCAAATTAACTGCAAGAGATTTCAAAAGAATCAAACATGAAGCTATCAGGAACCCACTATTTCCAGTGCTATAATTTCCCAGGACTTAGCCTGCTTTCAGGTCAGCAATAGCAAAAGACACTTTGGACCTTATAGACTGCAAGCACCTTGCACTTTAAACATCTAAAACTCAAAGCACTTTAATCCCATACACATAAGCACTTTACATCAGAAAAAACTACAGCTTTACACTTTATTTTGTATTTTGCACAGCATTAGCACTTTGGGTTACCAAAATATAGGATTTAACTTGTTGTTTTGGGTTGTTTTATGTTTGGTTTTGCATTGCCAATTTTGGCTTTGGTTGTAATTTAATTTAATTTAGTTATATCCTATATTTTTGTCCCAATTTGTTGTGTTTGTGTACCTTTTAAATGCTATAGAATGAAGAGGTTACACACCTTTTAAGGCTTATGGAGCTCAACAGTGACTGTCAGGATTATAAGCTTTGTGGTAACTAATAACCACAAAGTCTATAATTTTATATAAAATCTGTTTCTGAAATATTATGAACAATTAGGTTATTAAAGCATTTGTAAAATACTTGTAATGTGCTTTTTGGACTTAAAAACACTGCATTATGGATATTAGTTGCCACATAGCTGATTAGCCTCTCTCTGATGCCTTTGAACTCTTAATATTTAATTTTTCAAAAACACCCTTTTAGAGCATACATTATGGTGTAAACAAGATATCTTATTTCTGGACATAAGCCAGCATATGAAGTGGTGTCAGATGACATAAAACTGATGCATGCGGATGACAGTGACGATAGACAAGCGGTTGGTACATCTACATTCTTCCAGAGCTTGTCACGACTAAGTTCAAGTACAGTAAATACTGAATGTAATGAACAAACCATAACTTGTGATTATGGTTTGGGCATTTGAGTGCAAGCTGTCATACTTTAAGTGGAATACAAGAGACACAATTATGACATAAGTCCACTGTAAGCTGTAGGGAGTTGGTCCTAAACATGTAAACCTTAGTCGTAGTAGTATGTGTTCTTAACCAGACTGATGGTGGTGTCTAAATGTTACTCAATTTATGATGTAGAAGACATGTTTAAAATAAGACTGACCTATATTTCAATAGCTGTTTGAGGGACTCTTCTCTCTCTAAATGAAGCATACGGTGACAACATCATGCTAACAAAAGTCTGTCCTAGACAAGCTGTTGAATAAAAGGCAGTTTCAATACAAGCATCATTTTCTTTGCACAACTGAACAAGGGCACTGCATTCAAGATGTTGTTATGTTGTCATTAGAATATTCAGTTAGTTGGAAAACCAGTGGAGATTTTACTATGCAAAATACTAGACTACATTTTAGAGGTAAGAATGGAATGTCCAAAAACAGCTAGTAACATGCACATTTTTTGCAACAGTGCAAAAAACATTTTTCCCCCCCATGACTTCTTTATACAGTCTATGGGAATAACCCAACAAGCTGCTGTAGTAACTTATCACACCACAGAGTCTGATTAGTTTTGAATGAATGCTAAATTTATTATTTAGCCAGCATCTTAAAATCTTCAACATTAGATAGTTTTTAGTTTAGTTTTTTAGTTTAGGTTTATCGTTATGTATCACTTGCTTATCCATACAGGTGAATTAAAAATAAAATATAAAATGATTGGGTTTGCTCTGCTACTGCTATCTAAAGAGCTACTCAAAGGAGTGTAGAGGTAAGCTAATACAGATTGTGACCAGCTGACAGAGAGAGGAGGAATAAAGTCCAAGAAGAAAGGAATAACGTTAGCCTGAAAACCCTTCAAACAGGTGGGACCGCAGGAAAGCAACAACATACAAAAAATAGTATACTGTGGTACAATATAGTAATTATAACATTTATTGGCTTAAGAATTCAACAACATTAAGAAACAGGATTTCATAATCTAGCAAATAAGTTTTGCACATGATCATTATTATAATTTTTTTTCTTTACATTTTCATGTATATTTTGCTGTATTGTATTTTGTTGCCCAACACACAAATACATATACGGCATACACATACATTCATAATCAGTGCGTTCTAGTCTAATTTACAGGAGTTACAGTTTTAATTTTTGACCCTCTGGTCAAAAATAACCCTAACAAAGTGGAGACATTTAAGAACTATTTAAAGTGCAAATAACATTCCATATCCAATGCACAATGAACAAAATATGTAGCGGTCTATGGTGTCATAAACTAAATGAAGCAAATGACATGAATAGCTTCTTCCTATTATTGTAAAAGTGCTCTCTGTAAACTTCTAAAATTCCTCTAATCTTATCAAAATACTAAGAAAGTGGCTGTGTTGTAACTTTGCAAGTGGTGACTTGGACTGGAGACAGATTTGAGTCACTATTTTGATGACCAGAGACTTGACTTGATAAAAAGATTTGGTGATTTAACTTGGACTTGAAGGACAGTGACTTGAGACATGACTCAGAGCTCGATTGTTTCAAGTTGTATAATGAATGGAAACAACCTGAGACTCACATGGGATTTGCTAAACAAGGACTTGGTCCCATTGCTGCAGTCAACATATGGGATATTTTTTTTCAAATTTCTTGTTTTTTGTGTGCCTCTTTAGTGTTGTGACATATAGCACTGACCTGTTAAATAAGAGATGATTTCAGACCAGCCAGTGGCCCATGATACCCTTCTAAGAATCTGACACACCTTCAGCCTCATATGATTCAATGTGTAATAGAGTGAGTAATTTCAGCAGTTTAACTAAGATGATTTGCGCAACTATGTAATAGAGTGAGTCATTTCACAAGTCTAATTAAGAAGATTTGAGCAAGTATACCCCCACATAAAATGAGCAGCATGATGAATAAAGTGAGCCCACGGCGTACAATGAGCTGTTTAGTGGACAGCCTATGTCCCACAATGATGCTGGGGGAGGTGGACTGTTCTTGAACCTGCTGGTGGTCATCTGGAACCGCATAGACTGATTCAGCAGCAGTGATCTCGGTTTCTTTAGAGGCTGGAAGATAATACAACGTCATATCGTCACCACAGCAAGTCAACTGCCTTTAATAATTTGCATAATTTATTTGGCAGTATATTTGGAGACCAATAACAATTATGCATGAAAGTACACTAGAATTCTGAAAAATTAAATCACTTATAATTTTACAAAATGTATTACAGACAGGAAAGACCACACCAGTGAAAAGTCTCTCAGCGTAGCCCGATCCCAGATATTAATGTTTTGAAGTGTTGCAAGTCGAATGTGTTCTATTGGATTTATTTTTTTCCTTTTACTCTTTGCTCCCTATTTTCATAGCACATTTAATCTCGATTAAAAATGTTTGAATGGCAACTGCAGGGTTCAAAATGAGATTAAAAAAAAAAAAAAAAAAATCCATATTAGGTTTTATAAATCACAACAAGAGCAAATTACATTTAAATGTTTAAAACAGCAAAGCAAACATGTTAGAGGGTGGGGGTGTGCCCACATCCATAAATGGCTCTAAATAAATTTGTTAAGTGAGCACCCACATTGAAGAACTTAGCACCCCCATAACTTCTCCACCCAAAACAGTTTGGCCCCCCTCCTGCAATAAACAGCAGAGGCCAAAACAACAGAGTGTCAGCTTCAGAAAGAGCCCAGCTGTTTGTCTGTGCTCCTAAGGGTTCAAAAACAACTTCAGTTTGAATTGGGGGTCATTTTATATTAGTCAGCTGTTTTAGGAAAAAGTCAAACCAAAGCTAGGTTACTATATTCATGCCAAAAAGACAAAGTGGCATGTGAGAGTGAGTTTTACTTGCCCAAAGTGAAACACTTAATAGTATAATATACAGAATATTATATATATATATATATATATATATATATATATATATATATATATATATATATATATATATATATATATATATATATATATATATATATATATATATATAGATATATATATAGATATATATATAGATATATAGATAGATATATAGATAGATAGATATAGAGAGATAGATATAGAGATATAGAGATATATAGAGATATATATAGATATATAGATATAGATATAGATATATAGATATAGAGATATATAGAGATATATAGATATAGAGATATAGATATAGAGATATAGATATAGAGATATAGAGATATAGAGATATAGAGATATAGATATAGAGATATAGAGATATAGAGATATAGATATAGATATAGATATAGATATAGATATAGATATATATAGAGATATATATAGATATATAGATATAGATATATAGATATAGAGATAGAGATAGAGATATTATATAGACAATTACATCGATTTTGGTCTTAAAATTGTTGCATCTTATCTCAGTTCTTTGTCACACTTTCAGTTTAACTTACCTATTTTGTTCATCTCTGCTTCATCTTTTATTGGGATACCAGCTCTAATCTGAGCCTAGACAGGAGAAAAGTTTGTTGACTGACACAAATTATGCTCTGTACTGTAATCGACTTTTAAATACTTGAGTACTTGCTTTGGCATTTTATGTTCATGATGAAATATAATAATGCTCATGTTTTGAAAACACACATTATTTTGCATTTAGTTGCCTTCCCTACCTTCCTTTTACTAAACAATGATACAGGTATGTTTTTAGTAGAACAATGTATATAGCATTGCTAAAGGCTCAAACAAGTCAATTTTGAAAACTGTGTCCTACACAGTGGCACCTGCAGGCGTATGCCTGTACTCACTGTCCTTACCTTGAATGTCCCCATTCGTTTAATTGGAGGTCCCAAGATATAAATATATAATAATATAATATAAAGGGCAGGGTTGTAAAACTATTAAAACCTGTTCTGTCTGACACTGCGTAGGCACTGGCCCTAAATGAGCACCGGGTCTCCTTTCCTGTTCCCATCCCAGCACGCACTTACAAAACAATTCCCCCATAGGATTATATTAAATGTGTATGCACAGTGAGACTTATGAAGCATGGAACAGCCTCTCTCATACAAACACCAGTCCAGAACTTAACTTATAACCATATTCAGTCACTGAACTGGGGAAACTGAATGAAACATTGCAGACATCAGATGGAGACGAGGAGAGCTAGAGAAAAGAGAGAGATACAGACCTCCAAAGCCCCATGTGTCATTTGTGTCAGGTGTAAGTGTGCAGACTTAGTGGAGGGTCTGTCACCCATTGGCTATGTGTACTTTCCCAGAAAATCCTGCAGGCACCCCTCGTCCTATAACATATTGTGTGAAAAGAAAATACATAGGTAGGCACTTACTTCCACAGTTGCCTGTTGCCAATTTAGTTTGCACAAGAAGGTTATGAAGATAGTGCTTTGTAAAAATACACATACACAAAGGCCAGTCCAAAATCCTATGACAAAAAACACAAGTAAATTACGCATCATAAAGAGACATACTCTGATAAAAGATAATTTCTTACCTATGATGCCCAACGTTGCAGCAAACATCAAAGATACTCCAATGGGGAAACCTACAAAGTAATAGCCGAGGAAGTTACAAAGAGCGCCAACTTTCTGTTTTCCAACTCCTCTTATGACACCTCCGGTCACACCCTGCAAAGAAATACACTCTAATTATGCACAGGTTCATAAAGAAGTTTGTTTGAGAAATTTGTTGGAATCGTACCGTAGTTCCATCACCTATGCTTGCAACAATAAAAACAATGATCACTTCAGACAGTCTGTCTAATACGTCTCTAAAAATAAACACATATTTGCATAATTAGTGATGAAAATGCTAGTAATGAAAAATGCATAATTAGCTAATGCTGTTGCTGTTGTGAAATCTGGGTTGCCAGAGTCTATGTCCAAAATCAACTTATTTTGTGAATATGACAGTCAGTGTTATCACAAGTTAAGCAGTGATTGTTGATAAGACTGAGAAAAGGTAGAAATGTGTAATTGCATTAGGAACTCACTGTTCTGTAGTGAAGACATATCCAATGTAATTCCTGATAGCAAGCATGAAAGCTCCAACAACACAGGAAATTAAGACTAATCACAAAAACACAAACATGTTAGATTTGTATCAAATGTAAGTCATACCTGTTCAATACTTCACACATTTCACTTACATCCACATACTATAGGAACTTTTGCAGACAGTTTTGCCTGCTCTGTTTTTCCTGCACCAAGTGCATTACCAACACGGAGACTGGCAGCAGCAGAAAATCCAAGTGGCATCTGCAAAACACAATAAGTCATATCGATTTATCAACTAAAGATGGAAGAAGACAAAAAAAAGTTTCTATGTCTAGGTTTGTCTATGATATTTTTCAAAATTTTGCCATTAAAAAAATGGCTGCTAATGATGAAAAAATAAAAAATTACAGGGGACTGAAAAACAGTCTGACTAAGCACTACAGTCTGAAAATCTGGGGTTAGAAAAATCTGGTTTTACATACGGCACTGAAAAAAACAAATCTGACTGCATGATCATGTTCGGTTCTGGCTTGAGATGTGACAGAGACAAAGAGTGGGGACAAGACTGATATCTCTCTCTATAAAAAATTCCTGAGAGATTTCAGTCTGGGTTTGTCAGGCAAAGGATGTCATAGTATATTACACACTCTCTCTTTTTCAAGGATACCTAGAGACTGCCATCTCAACCATTGTTATCTTAGCCTGTGCCATCAGAGGTATAATATTCCCTACAATAGAAGCATTGCCAGACTGGACTGTACTAGACTGGAGTGGACAACACTATCACAATGTCTTATGGGTTTATGTGTCCAGAGGCAGGGTCCCTTACTGATGGTAAATTAACTCCTGCCTCTTCAACTCTTGTCTATTCTTAAAAATAACAAAAGACCAAGTAGTCAAAACGCGTTGGCGTTACTTTTAATAAATTCACCGCAAATCAGAGTGCCTCTGCCATCATTTTTCTATTTTACGTCTTATCTATTCTTCTTTTTCTTTTTTTAAATAGTACATTTTATTATCCCTGTCGGGATCCCTCTGCATTTCACCCATCCTGAAAAGGATGGGTGAAATGGGCAGCACATGGGGCGCCCAGGGATCTATCTCTATGATCTTGTTGCTAGGCTTGATCTTGGTTTGAGGTTGATGGAAGAAACCAGAGTGCCCAGAGGAAACCCACCCAGACACAGGGAGAACATTCAAACTCCACACAGAAAGGCCTGGGTGACCCGAGGATCAAACCCAGAACCTTCTTGCTGTAAGACGTGCTAACCACTCACCCACCGTGCTGCCTCACTCTACCACAATAGCCTTAGTCTTGTGGTTACCATATAACATAGAACACCTAGCTCGTAGACCACACTTTGTGTCGCCAGCTCCAGCTCACTGATGACACCAGCCAGAAACCCCCCGAGTTCAAACATCCACCACTCCAGGCAGAGCATCAGCATACTGGGGATGGCCATCTGTATGAAGGACCCCCACTCCTGCAGACATTCAAGAGACCAGCCTGTGGAAATACCAACAGATTCTCCTCACCATTAGATCATGTAAAGTTGTATTTAGCTTAGTAATGAAAACAGTTATAGCAAAATAGATTATATTTTGGACATTTTAAATTGCCACATTGATCTAAAATTAGTTAATAAAGGAAACTAACTCTCCTGCCTGACAAAAGTTCCTTAACAGTTTACAGTTTTTTTTTTTCCATCTTATTTATCTATTGAAAACTGACACTTGAAAAACAGCTCACACAAAATCCTAAACAGAATTTTAGTTTTCCTAAACAAAATGTAATCTCAATAAAATGCATTTTTACATTGAACTGATCAAAAACAAGTTTTACCATCATAACTCTGAAACTCTTATCATGTGTTTTTCTGTGCTCTTTCATTCATTTGACAGAGCAGCTCAGAAGTTTTAGTCCTGCTCTTAATGACCACAGAGCATCGCTGGTTTAGTGCAGTCTGCCATTGGGGTTCACATTTTGGATATATTGATTTGTGGAAAAGCTTTGCTTTTTTTTGTCTAAACCTGTCTGTATTGTATTGTAGGTAAAATATAAATGTACACATTATACATTGCAATTTTGCAGTATTTCATAAAAAAATATTTGTGCCTTAGAAAACTGAAAAATGTTGGAATAGCAAATACATCAACACTATATATATATATATATATATATATATATATATATATATATATATATATATATATATATATATATATATATAACCATATATATATATAACCAGCTGCTATATATAACCAGCTGCTATATATATATATAGCAGCTGGTTAGCTCAATTGGGAAGTCACTGGACTTTCACATGGGAGACCCGGGTTCAAATCCCCCCTCTGACGGGGCAGGGGGGCAATGAGCTAACCAGTGTGGGTCCTTGGGCAAGACCCTTCGTGCTACTGCCCACCTCATACAATGATGAGAGAGAAAGAAACGTATGACATGCCGGCTCAGACGTCGCCCGGCCAAACAAGGTCTGCATCAGGTGCTGGGGAACCAGGGCACCTTGATGAAAAATGGGCTACTGGAACACGGCGGAAATGGGCGAGATGCGAGAACAAGGCTCTGTTGGAATGCTACTACTACAGTAACCCTAGGCAGAGGGGTTACATGAACAGGAATGTGGGAGAAATGGTTATTACGATACCCACAGTCCAAGCTAACGGCCAAACAACTAGTAGCTCAGTGTTCCAACATCCACAAACGGCAACTGCTATCACAACTAGAGATTGATGAGGTACAACACAAATGCCACGGCAAGGGGGAACCAGTGTGCCAGGTCAGAGGGGAGTTGACACCAACTCCCCAACCAGAGATTGGGTACGAAACCCCAATAAGTATCACGCTGAGCGAGGCAGCGACTGACCTGAAAGATAAGATCATGGCCCGAATGAACACAAGGCAACCCCGATGCCGGTTACAGAGGCTAAGTGAAGTACCATCTGAAAGTCTCCTAGACGATGTGAATGCAGCACTAACAGTGATCCCTACCACAACAATCACTGAAACCAATGAGCTGATATACACTTCAGCAGCAGTGATCCTAGATGTGTTGGGGCTATAAGAGCAAACCATGGGAGCCATGCGATACAATACCCACCATGGCAAAGACGGTTAGAGGCTAAAATCAAGGAGGTGCGGAGAGAAGTGAGCCAACTGTCAGAGGCCCAGAAAGGTGCAATGAAAAAGCAAGTGCCCAAGAGGTACAACCAGTTGCCCATACCTGAAGCACTCGAAACTGCCAAACAAAGGCTCCAAGCCTTGGCCAGCCGCCTAAAGAGGTACACACGAGATAACGAGGCCAGACGAATAAACCGGCTGTTCGCAACACACACACGCACACGCACACACACTGGATTTTACAGTATTTTATGTTTGAATCAAATGAATAAACTAAACCAACTTTCAAAAAATGTGGTTACACTGTAGCAGTTACTATCTAAACTGTCAGTCTCTAAATGAAAACTAATATCTACTCTCATCTCTGCTCAAAATTGCTTAAATAGTAACTAACCTGTTCTTCTGTCTATCAGTTATTACCAACGATAACTGTATGTGTAATAGAAGGAAACACTTAGATATTACTCATTGCCATCTTAGATAATAATTAGTAGTAGTGCAATTTTCCTTCGATGAAAAACATGGGCTCACAGTTCTTTCATAAAACAGTTCACTTAGAAACACATGTTCAGCGAATTCACCTTGTTTTTTTCAATATTACAGGCTTGTTCTCACATGCCAAAGGACGTTGGCCCAAAGTCTGACACTTAAAATATAGAAATTTAAACATAATGGCAAAAAAAAAGCTGTTACCAAAGTCGAACAACAAAGGATTTGCCACATGAATCAAAGGGAGAATGTTCATTGTTAATGTATTAGCTATTCCAACATGTTTCAGTTTCTTTCAGCGTATCTTCGGTCACATACTGCAAAAATCATAAATTTTTTTTTTTTTTCAAATTGCTTTCACACTAAAGTCAAAATTTTGTCATACATTCCAAAACCTCCCACTCAAGGAGACTACACTCCAGTTCCAGTTGACACAAAATCAGTCTACTTTTTGCAGAACCTAAGACACAATGATCAACTATATTTAAACACAGACAACATGTTTCAATTTTCTGCATGTGCTGTAGTCTGTCCACTTAAATCCTGCACACTCTTAACAAAGTCCATAGACTGAAGACACAAAGGACTAAACTGAATACACAGGAATCACACTATGAAGATATATTATAGACAGACACAGAAGCAGAAACATGAGACTTCTGCAGTGAAAACCAGTTTGGACAAGGTTTTCATTCAGACACTTTGAGATCCAAATCAGAAACAGTTCCCAAAAAGATTTATATATGAATAAATATGTTCTGTTCATAGTTAACTTTTTCAAACATTCTGAATTGTTTTGTGTCTTCTGAGCTGCAGTGTCAACACAGAGTTTTGATGGGAGAACTTGCTTGGAAAACTAAAATTCTGTTCAGGATTTTGTGTGAGCCATTTTGTAAATGTCAGTTTTCAATAGACAAACGTGTCAAGACGACTAAATTAAAACTGTAAGCAGAACATGCACTACTATATTCTACACCCACCTGACCATGTTTTTTTGTGGAGACCTTTTGCATAAATGTAAATAAACAAGAAAACTGCCATGAAATATTGACACATGGCATTGGCTGCTGCTGACCCCCTGCAAGAAAAAGAAGACAGTGAAATCGGGCAAAATCCGACATTCAGATATTCTTCTCACATCAGATATTCTGGATGCATGTTTACTAGTTTGTGAATATCTTTTATATTACTTTTTGGTAAGTATGTGCACCAGATTTTTAAAGGTGTTTTATCTGATTTTTACAGTTGTTAAAAAGTAAATTTTACATCGTTTTCAGAGGTCCAAAATGATTTCTCACTTAACTTATGCATTCCCAGCACTCTGTTCATTCACCGTGATGAGTTTATAAGCACTTTTCACTACATTCACTACAGACCATAGCGAAACATAAGATTCACAAATATTGAACCATATCATAAGTCCTAACTAAGTCCTAAGCACTTCTTTGTGATTGAATAATAATAATAATAATAATAATGCCAACCAAATCTGCTGTCAGTTAAACTGCAGATTCCATATCATATGAATGCATACTATATTTATATTTATTCTATGTAAGTATGTAGCAACATAAATACTCACGCAACACCAAATTTCAGAGGGAAGAGTAAGATATAGTTCATGAGTGCATTTACAGCGTTACCAGCTGCTCCTACGAAAACTTGAGGCCAAATAATACCCTGTAATAAACAAGATCATACCTGAAATTAATCATCAGAGTGAAATATTCTAAAGGCTCTTACCTGGTTTTGTAGATATCTCACTTGAAGTTGATACATAAAAGAAGCCTGTGAATTAATAAGAAAAAAATTAAAAAATATATACAAATTTAGTCAAAAATTAAGTAAATTAGGGGTACAACATTACCGGTAAGGATGGCAAGAAGACGTTAACATAAATCTGGGCTAACCTGTGTTGAATTAAAAAAGAGTTTAGTCACTATTTATTAATAACAATGTGTATAATAATCATTATAATAAATACAAATACAAACAATATTGATTTAAATTGTCTGTGGTTTGAAATATTTAAATAGCTGTTAACTTAAGTATTCAGTGTTTATGTTGAAGTATGACAAAAGTTAAAAATAATTAATTAATTAATACTTAATAATAATTTTCACTTATGTGAAAGTATTTCTTTTTTATGTAATAAGGATTGTGTCTGTGATTGAATAGACTCTAATACTACTTGATAACATTACTGTCACTACAGCTACAGTTTAAACATTACATGGTCTGGGCAGTAGTAATTTCAGACAAAAATTAACTTAAAAAGCTACATATGAATTTTTACAAGTGTGGGCCTGTATGTGTTGGAGTGGAGAAGCTTCAACAATTCTAAATAATTAGTATGATGTGTTTGAAACTACCACTTTCACGACAGACTCATCAAACTTAATTTAAGCAAAGTATAACTATAGGTGCGGCTTTAGTGGGGAACAATGTTGTAATAAGATGGTTAAAATCTCAGAAAGTTAAAAAAAATATATATATATATATAATATATATATATATATATATATATATATATATATATATATATATATATATATATATATATATATATATATATATATATATAATGTTCTTCAAGCATTGTTGAAAACTTACTTGGCCACATTTGGACTCTGTTTGACAAGGAGCAAAAGAACTTCTGTGTTGAGGAGGATGGCTGCACATGGAAAACAGGCAAGTAACAAGATCAGCACCCCCCTCTGTAGAAGGACCCCTACCTGCTTCAGGTTACCACTCCCATAAGTCTACAAGACACAGGATGAAACCGTAAAATGATGGTTATGAACAAAGAAACTTTTGGTATTGCCTTACCTGAGATATAAGAGTGTCACAGGTAAAAGACAAACCTGTTCCAACTGAAATCCCAGTGACATTAATGACCTGCAAAAAACAAAACAACAACAACAAAACTATTAGGCTTACATATTTGGAACTGAATACAATTATTCAGTTTTCAATTACCGAAATTGCCAAAGCCACACTTGCAAGTTCAGTTTTCCCAAGGTGACCAGTGAAAGCTGTACTGACAAAGCCTGTCAGAAAGATCATAGACTGGGCGATAATCTGAACAAAAAGACAGCAATACTTAAAGATGCATCCTGTAACTTTTTAGTAGAGAGTACACTTGCTTGTCTTGAGGAGATGTTATTTCTGTTCCTGGAATTTTTAACAGTAGGGCATTACGTTTATCTGCCTCCATGTGGACAAGCAGGTGGCTCCATCCTACATTACAGGTCAGTAAAGGCGAACCGCACAGTCAGAATACACTTCAAGTTATTTTGTGCAATAAAAATAGCTGTAATTGCATAAATAAAATAACTTTTTAACAAGAAAATGTTCTGTTTTCATGATTCTACCTGCATTTTTTCATGATTCTACCTGCATTTTTTACTTATTTTAATTATATTAATATATAATTTTACTTATAACTTTTAAATTATTTCCATATTTTCATAAAAATAGAAATAGCCAGAATGTAGAGAAGCGCGACTGCTAAAAATTGGCAAAGTTTTCGTGAGTTTACGCCATTGTTCACTTGGTGAAAAATGGGTGAGTTGGTCTCAAGAAAAATAATAAGAACAATATTCTGATATATGAGAACAATGTTCCGCCTTTTTAAAAAAAAAAATTTTTTTTTTTTTTTTTTTTTTTTTTTTTAGCAAATAAAGTATAGCCCACATTTTCAGAAAGCAGTGGCATAATTAGTCTACGAGATGCTAATTGCCCCGTATATAGTAAAGAAACAGACTCGCATACCACCGGTCCGGCCACTTTGCACAGCTCCAAGACTTCATCCCTGTACTCGGCCGGGATAGAGCGCTTCACCCGCTTCAGACACGACCCCTCGTCCCCGGCCTCTTCGCCTGGCTGGTGGTCGTCATTTTTTATCTGACTTTTAGTCATATTAACAACGATGGTTACACAAAGCTATTAGAGCTTCCACAAGATAAGACAAGTTAAAAAAAAGAAGAAAAAAAAAAAAAAAAAAAAGAAAGAAAAGAAGAAGAAGAAAAAAAAGACGCACTTTAAGTTCAAGCTAACTGAGGGAGGATTTACGCAAGTGCCGGATAGCCAATCATAGTCTTCTGTTTCTTTTTTTTTTTTTTCTGTTTTTTTTTTTTTGCGTGACTCTGCAAATTTTAGTAAATTATAGCCTCCCAGAGAAAATGACAGTGTTCTGTAGATACAGCAGGCTCTATATTGTTTATGCATTACAATTTGTAAATAAAAACAAATATATCTCCCAGAAATACTTCTCTCACAAACTGCTGTGGCCTGTTTTATTTTAATCATGCTGAGTAAAAAAACAAAAAAAAAAAAAAAAAAAAAAACACAAAGCCATATTTAGTAAATGTAAATCAATATTACCTGTAAATAAACAGATATATTCAGGTATTTAGTGCAAATGAAATTATACCAGTGTTGTGATCAAATTTTTATTCAAGTGTTAGTATTTGCAGTTATACATATTCATACATATTATACCAGTGTTGAAGGCACTAGGTATTTCCCCCTGTTGTTTTTGCATGTTTTTAGGTTGTAATCTGAACCAATGCAGGCATATAATTTATCACCCTTTTGAGCTCTCCAAACAAGAAGCACGAGGGAGACGGAGATAGGTGGCCAAACTACCAGTACATATATAAGTTTATTTTCTGCACGCATTTGTATTTTACTTTTAACAAGAGTCCCATTCAGACCAGGAAATTTGTGTCTAAATTCAAACAGAGTTTGAATTAACACCATGTAAATGCTATGTACCGAAATGAAATAGTGCTGTAGTGAGCCTGCTGTTATTTGACCTCCACTCCTTTTTACACACATACACCTGTATTGCTTCACATTCGGCATCAAGTCTGCAGTTACATAACTTGTATTATGACACTGTAGCAGACTTGTTAATTTTTGTCAGTTGAGAGATTGTATGATCAGTGCACATCTCTTACGATTTGCAGCTTTTCTGTCCCAAGACATTATTATTATTATTATTATTATTATTATTATTATTATTATTATTATTATTATTATTATTATTATTATATAATGTGCTCTTAGAGGTATGAAAAAGAGACTTGCTATGACAGACCACGCCTCTTTGAAACCTCCATAAATCAATGATTCGAGGTGGTGTAACACTAGTAAATGATTCGCATTGCCTGCACGTGCTGATACACGACTAAGTTACATGTTTGGCCAAATAATAGTGGGGAGTTTATTTTGCTTTTTGATTGAATTTGAGAACCAAAACATAAAATGGAAACAAAATGGCTTTCACATTAAGAGCAAATCAACATTATAATTGTTGTTGCCAATAAAACCAATAGCCTATAAACAGACCAAAAGCACACTGAACTATTAAACTATTAATTAAACTATTATCCTAATCTGAATACATGCATATATTTAGACCTTACGATGATTAGGAGGAGACAAAACATTGCAGACCGGTCTGAACAGGCTGCATGTCTTGTGCTGGTCGCTCCTATAGAGGGAGCTCCAACAGTATGGTTCATGAGCTAGGACTGTCCGGCCTGCCCGACCAGAGCAGGATCAGAGCAGGACCTAGGTCTTCTGAGGCATAGTCCTGGTTCAGTCCAGGTTAATTACAAATTCTGTCAGGAGTTTGTTCTCATAGATTTTTGTGATTATTATTATAATAATATATATATATTTTTAAACTTTATATAGGCCAAACAGTTTTGTGTCTCATTCAGGGCATATGTCAGATTGCAAACTGCCAAACATCTCGCTCTCTATCCCAAGCCTAGGCCACTTCACATTTGTATCACAGCGCGATGGAGTCTCCCTGCCTCTGCCCACAAATAAGGACCCACATTGCCTAGCTGGGTAGAACGTAGTAGAAAAGTAGAAATATGAAAACAGCGCTCTCTAATGTAAGGTATGAAAATACACGCACTTCCAAGAAAGACCCTGGAAAGAAAGTTTATTTTACGAAAAAGAGTGATGACGCCATAGTTATACATTAATAAACCTTTAAATTGGCAAATCTTTATATAGTGCTTTTGAATACTATTTCAGTACAATTGGTATCTGCAATTGATTCTGGTCATTCTACTTCCTGATTGGATAATCATCTTAAGAATCAAAACACCAAATAAAACATAAATAGCATAGCCATCATATTCAAAGTTGTTGTAATTAAGAATAAATCAGCATTACTTTACAAATGTTGTTACAAAAACTCTATTTGAAACTTGTATCTGGAGATATTTCAAATTGTTACATACAGTTCCTTAAAAATAATCTGTTGGCTGCTACATTTTTGCATCAGTAAATTTCTTAATTCAGTGAGAGTGGCAAAGAAAAGAAATTCAGTTTAGTCAACTGGACAGAAGTTTACGAGTGAAAACGTTTTGCTACTCATCCAAGTGGCTTCTTCAGTTCCAGCTGACAAAATTTTATTTTTTTTGCTACTTGGATGAGAGTTAGAGAGATACTTTATTGATCCCAAGGAAAATTCAAGTTTTGCATTTTTATTCTGACCTGCAGAAATAAGCCTAAAAAGCAGCACATTTTATTTCTGTAAAAAATGTCATACAGTAGGGCAACAGTTGTTCTAGTGCATACTGTGATTGTATAGGCAATATTCAGAATACCAAGATAAAGAATTAATGATTATCATTCACATGAAACAATTGGTTGAAATGTGCAATTAATTGTATCTATAAATCATAAAGGTACACTGTGACAGACAAAGACACACACACTCACACATTTAGAATTCATATATTCAAACATGTTTTTACATGACAAATACCTTTTCATCTTTAATATGTTTTTGTATGAAGCTTCAGCTGTAAAGAAGAAACTATCAATAAGAATATGAATTTGCTCTTCCACAAGTCTTTAAATGAGATTGTATGTTGTGTGGTGTATTCTTTGATGCTCCAACTGCAAACAAACACTAGTTAATTAGTTGAATAAAGTCATTAGCAGTTCACTGGTGGTGATCCCAGAAATCAGGATAACCATCATGAGCATTAGTGTGAGTGATCGCCGTAAAACCAGCGCCCTCTTAGGCAGAATGTCCCCCACTGTGGTTGTAGTGGTAAACATCTGATTGTGGGAAGGTCCCTCCTCTGTCTCCTCTGCACACTGTATAGAGGGAGCAGTGCCCACCCCCATATGGATCAGATCTGAGTCTGTTGTAAAAGAAAACAAATAGAATAGAATGTTACTAAAGCATTCATACTCATTCATACATAAATGAAGAGGACAATTACTGGATACCTTCTGAGTTAGACTGTTCATTTTGCACCTGGATGCCAGCTCTCTCAAATGCCTGCACAAAGAAATGCAATGCCCTGGTTTTATCTCAAAACACCTTGTAGTTTTTTTTCCTAAAGGAAGAGTATGTGGCCTGCACTCATAAAAGTAGGAACTGCAACTGACAAAATTGGTTGCATGTGCCTGTACTTTTAGGACAGACTTAAGTTCTCTGCCTCATGTGAAACTCATGAATTCACTCACTGAGCTGGCTACTGGGGTTTTGGTAAGAATTCAAATCAAAGTGAGAGCCCTTTGTTTCTAACTGGTTTAAGTCATAGGATCTGGTCTACCACACATCTTTAGACAAAGACAGGTTATGTCTTCCACACATACTCCCTTAAGCAAACAGTAATTTGCTTTCCATTTAATGTATTACTGAAAGAATTTACATGAAAAAACAAAAAACAAACAAAAAAAATTTATACAAGACCTCTTTAGCAGCTTTTGTCCAATCAAGTTTGTATAAAATTATGATGAAAACAGTGCACTGCAGGAAGACACAGATGGTCAGTCCAGTCCACATCCCTGTTAGCAAAATGAAACAATAAAAAAGTAGACACATCCAAACCAAATAGAAAAGCTCAAAGTTCAAGCAGAGTGAATACAACACAGTGCAACAATGTCACATCTTTGCAAGCATATTTGCATTAGAATGATCTTACCCATAATGCCCATCTTGGCTGCGAACATTAAAGACACACCAATGGGAAAGCCAATGAAATACAGGCCCACTAGGTTACACAGAGCGCCAATCAGTTGTTTCCCTGCTCCTCTCAGTATGCCAGCAGCCACACCCTGGAAACAAGAAAAGAAATGACTGAAAAGAAAGAAATGAAAAACTGTAACGAGCAAAATAAAAATAATAAGAATAAAAATATGACAAATATTCAAAGATTCTTACTGCTGTGGCATCCCCAATGTGCATGAAACCAAATAAAAGCATGACTTCGGACACTCTCTGAATGATGTCACTGAGTAACAAAACAGAAAGTGAATATGATGTGACAAAAAATAACATATACTACAATCGATTGTAACTACTCACTGCTCTGTGGTAAAAATGTATCCAATGACATGACGGGCCAGGCTGAGACTAGCTCCAACAAAACATGCACATATAACTGTATAGCAGAAAAAAATTATATAATATAAACCAACTTTTCACCTGTTCAGCATGTAATTAGTGGTTAAATATGGTAGTTCTTACATGCACAGATGATAGGCACCTTGCAGGAGAGCTTGGCTTGTTCCACTTTTCCAGCACCAAGAGCATTTCCGACTCGTACACTCGCGGCTACAGAGAAACCAAGAGGGAACTGGCAGTAAAAAAATAAAAAAAAAAATAAAATAAAATAAAAAATAAATAAATAAATATATATATATATATATATATATATATATATATATATATATATATATATATATATATATATATCATCTATGCTTAATGACAGCAACAGCCTAAAAACAATTTAAAAATGCGGTTTAAAGGCCACACCATATAAGCCACAATGCAAAGTTGGTATGCAATGGATTGTGCCCCAAGTTCAGTCTCGCTAATGATCCCAGCCAGAAATCCTCCGATCTCGAACATCCACCAGGACAAACATATCATGAGCATGCTGGGGATGGCCAGTCGAACAAACAGACCCCATTCTTGAAGGCAGTCCATGGACCAGCCTGTGGTGTGAAAAAGAGGTAATATAAAGTATGAACAATATATTGCTATAATTAGTGCAAATAGGGTTGTCAAAAATATCCCAGATACTGAAACTAAACCTAGAACTGAAACTAATATAAGACTACTGTTTACATCAGTGATCTTTTACTGGGTCAAGGCTGTTCATAAATGGTACATCGGATGTCTGCTCTAGAGCAAGGTTATCACAACCTCTTGATTCTTACAGCTTGGTTTTTATATTAGTTTTTATAGTATAGTTTCGTGATGGCTCTGTTATCCTATGTAGGCCTTGTGCTCCTCATATAAGTCTATTGTTTATATTAATCCTAGCTTGTTATTCTCCTGATTGTTGACCCAAGCATGGACTGATCTGTTCTCGGATGAGACTCCTTCGTGACAACTTTTCAGTTCTTTGATGTTTGTATTCTAGAAATTCCACAACACTATCTAGTTATTCAAACTCCTATTTTGTGTTGAAAATGATGCTGTATTGTCTCAAGTTAAAATTGTCATTATTTTCCTTCCTATGAAAATCAAGCTTGAAATTTTAATATTGCACAAGTACATGCAAAATACAACTGACCTCCCCATGTAGCTTTGTGTAGTCCTCTCCATATAATGTATGCAAACAGCAGCAGAGCCAGAATGTACTGTGAGATAGCATTGGCAGCTGCAGAGCCACTTCAGTAATTTCCAAAACATAAAAAATATATTAAAACATTTTTAATTATGAATTTTTATAATAGAGGTTGCTACGTTCTACTTTAACTCATCGTGCCAAAACCAAAGACAGGCTGAAGCTGAAACAAAGAATAGGCTATATGGCCAAGCTCTTCACTCTAATAAAGCTATGAAATTAATCAAATTTTAATCAAGTCATTTTTAATTGTCAACATCCGGGGGTCTGTAAACATTGTAGTTTATAGAAGGGTTCAACGAAGAAAACTGATAATTTTTTGTGTTAAAAGGTGCAGTCTGAAAGTTTATTTTGTGTATGTTCAGGGAACTAAATTGCATGCTATTTTTAATTTTGTTAATTAATACTAAATATAACAAAATTAAACAGTTAGTCTTAGCAGGAGTACCAATAAATATATGTTGTCAGTATGTTCACAATATAAATTTAATGTAGTTAAGTAAAGTTCTAAAATATTGTCTTTGTATTATGAATACTCACGCCACACCGAGCTTCAGAAGATGAAGGAAGATGTAATTGATAATTACATTGAATATGTTTCCAATTGCCCCAGTTATGACCTGTGGCCACATTATTCCCTGTAAACACCAGTATTCATGGGTTTTAGCTTACTGTTTATTGGTGCCATTTTGAGTACTTTTCACCATTCAAAAGAAAGCAATAACATGCAACAATGGATTTTCTGGTTAAGATTTGCTTCAAAATGTGCCCCATATCAGACTAAAACATTAAGATGATCAAATTCCAGAAGACAGGCTATAGAGTGTACAATATGGTGATAAATATGTCTGGTAATACTGTACCTGATTTTGAAGGTACTTCCCTTGCAGTTGATACATAAATGTGGCCTGCCAACAAAGATAAAAACAGTAACTTAATCAGCTATTAACAAAGAAAACAAACACAAAAATAAGTTCTTCACATAAATGACCAACAAATAGCTATTCAGCAATATGTGTTCAGGAACAATAAACTCACCGGTAGAGCCGGCATAAAGATCTCCACATACAACTGTGAAAGACTTTGTAATAGAAAAATAATATTAATAATGTTAATTGCATTCTTGTGGTTAATCAAGAGGTTTGTATGAATATTGGGCAGTAGTGGATGCCTATTTAACTGATGGTGATTGATGGTACCTCATTAAACCCTGCAAGCACAGTAGACAGTAAATTATCCAAACTGATTTAAAAAAAAGATATTAGGATCAGGATAAACTCTAGCACGGATGTTTGTTATGCAACTGGTCAGTAGAGAGATTGTAAGATAATTTTTAATATAATTAGGCAAACATAAATATTTAAATAACAGTATAGTAGTAAACCTTAGTAAACCAGGTTATAAATACGTCTTCCACCTCTGACTTTAGCAGGCGCTCAGACATCAGGAAGGAGGAAGCTTATTTGTATGAAATAGTTAATGAGAGTTCTCCAAACATGGACTGACCTGGCAACCTCCGAACTCTGTTTAACAGCGAGCAGCAGGGGCTCAGTATTGACCAGCATGGCCCAACATGGGAAACAGGCCAATAACAAGATCAGAACTCCTCTCTGAAGAATCACTCCCACACGCTTCAGGTTACCACTTCCAAATGTCTGTGAAAAACATGTGCAGCAAGTGCAGTATGTAACTTTTCAGGTAGAGAGTCTGATACCTGCTTGTTTCACTGAAGATGTTATTATTAAAAAGAATAATAATAATAAAATACAAATATTTTCTGAATAAAAATCTGAAATATTTTAAAATATTATTTACAAGTATTTTACAACCTCTCCTATTTAACATTTTGAACTAAAAAGCTATGCACCAGTAGGATTCATAGTTTTGTTAATTTACCTGCGATATAAGAGTGTCACAAGTTGCAGACAAACCAGTGCCAATGGAAACTCCACTGACATTAACCACCTGGGTATAGGCAAGAATTAGGCTAGAAACTCAAGAAAAGGAAAAAGACAAAGAGAAACTAGAGAACAATATATCCTTACAGCAGCCGCCAGTGAGACTGCAGCAAGCTCAGTTTTTCCTAGATGGCCACAGAACACCATACTGATGATACTGATCAAGAAAACCATCATCTGCGAAATCACCTGCAAAAAAGGAATGTGATTTAAAAACAGAATTTAAGAAGAGCCAGTTATACTGTACATTTATACCCCCTAAAAAGGTTATTCTCTTTTTATTATGTTCACTTTGCGTTCTCTAGGCTTTCATTTAAGGCGAGACACTGTAGGTAAATTGGAAAACTATTTGAAACTTCGCCTGTAGTTTACTAGAATAAATATAAGAAAAGTGTATTACAAGGTGCCATGTTTTCATATACAAATAAAGTATTGTATGTGTAAAAAAAAATCACATATTTGAGACACATAAATCTAAAAAAAAATGTATTGAGCCAGACTGTAGGCCGAAACTAAATGTTATTTGGAGGTTGACAGAGTTCTTACCACAGGCCCCGCTAGTTTGAGGACTTGTAGTGCCTCCTGGCGGTAGTTCAGGGGGACACAGTCAGCAATCCTCCGCATGCTACAACCGCAGTAGCCTTTCTGATCACTGGAGACGCATTCAGGTGCTCCTTCTGTATACGGGACATCTGATCTTTCCATTAGATCCATTCCGTAAAATAGACATAGATACTGCCCAGTGAAGCGGATGTAACACAGGAACTATCGCGTGAGCTCCGCGCAAAAAAGAACACTCGAAGAAGCTTGTGATTTGAGCTGATCGAACTGACGTAAGGACGTAAGGGCAGGCGGAGGCAATGAGATTTTTGCATTGTAACCATAAACAGTCTGATTACATCACTTCTTTTATCTGAAAACATAGCCTTACCATGTCGCGTCTGTAGGCAGCCTGACCATAGAGCTCCTCCCAGTGGACAAAAAAGTGACAACATGCTTAGAGAAAAATATTAAATTCTGTCTCTTATGTATAGATTCAAATACGCCTATTTCCAGTATAGTAATGAAATATATTTAGTTTTTTAAAGGAACTTTATGTAGCCTGTCGTAGCCTATCTATGTACTGCAATCATAACCACATACGGTCTATGATCATAACTGACCCCGGATTGCCAGCGCCTTAACCTACATGTAGACACGTTTTTCTCACTCTCAGGCCATGCATCACGTGAAAGCTCAGTACCTCCAGAATTCATTTACAATGCTATAGAGGCTGTACTAGCGCTGATTAATGACTGACTTCAGGGTTTAGGTATTAAGGAAGTGGTTCACATCTGAAAGTACTTTTAGATTTTAACCAACAGTTTACTGGTAGGATAAAGAATCAAAGCACCACATTATACCAGAACTTGACCATCATATTATCAGTAAAAGCAATATTTAATTTGAACATGTCAACCATATATCTGGGGACACAGTTATCTCATGTTTATTGAATTTTAAATAAACTACACTTAAACTTAGAATCAAAAATAAGTTTATGTCTGTATCATTGCATATTGCCCCCATTGTGGAGAAAGTTGAATTTTTGATGTTACAGAATAGATAATAAACTGTGAACACTTTACTGAAAAGATGAAATAAAAGTAGATATGAGCCAATGGCTTTAATAGTGTAAAGCATGACAAACCAGGAGACATCAACATTCAGTAACAGTAAAATCCCTGATAAAATAATAATGCATTTATGACTTACTGCAGCATGCTTTGTGAGCCCAGAAGATAAGGACAAAACAGATTTGCATATTTAGGCCTTGAAAAAATCATTCAAGACTATACAGTAGCATGAACAGAAACTATACCTCATGTAATATGTCTTAACACAAATAGCCACTGCTCAGAGGTGGGTAGAGTAGCCAAAAACTGTACTCAGGTGACTAACCTTACTTCAAAATAATATTACTCAAGTACAAGTACAAAGTACTGGTCCAAGAAATTATTCAAGTAAGAATAAAAATGTAGCTGGGAAAGTGACTCGAGTCGAACTTAAAGAGTTAAAATGTCAAGATATAACATCTGATTTAAAAGTTAATTAAATTAATTTAGTAATTTAAAGGACAAAATATTAAATAATGAACCAAACCTGTTATTTTTAAAGGTTAGACACAAAAGGGGCATTGCAAGAAGTATAAATCAAATAATTTAATATTAACAATATAAAGCTATTATGACTTGTAGACTTACTCACAGTGGGAAGAGTAACCCACACTTTTACTCAAGTAAGTGTTGTGCTACTTCAATAAAATATTACTCAAGTAGGAGTAAAAGTATGCTGTTAGAAAAGTACTCTGAAAATTTACAATTTATTTAAAAAAGTTTCTCAAGTAAAGGTAACTGAGTGCTACCCACCTCTGTCACTGACATAGTCATAAGAACCCAGTGTATCCAAATATGAATGATAATGAATGTTTATAGCCCTATTCTTCAATTTCTAAAAATAATGCACTTAGTGTTTATGTATACTGCCAAGACCAATGTTTAGGAGAATGCTGAAAATTGTCAATGTGGATGACATAAACTTTATTTTCTAATATTACAATCATTGCAAGATGTGCCAATCAAAAACTACCATGATGTATCTTCATCTGTGATTTATTTAAGTATTTTTATTCACCGGTTTTGCTTATCTTTGTTGTAACCACCAGGAAAACATAGTACTAGAGTTTTTGTAAACAGTAACATTAAAAGCCCAAACAACCTGCAAGATTGCAGGTATAATATATGAGCAAAGGTAATATTACAAACAAAGGCCAATAGTGTATGAGTTATGCATACAAAACATTTGAGTTTATCTGTGCTTTTGTATTTGTAAAAGGCCAACTATTGTCACACCAATACAGCAAAACTACACATGTAAACATATGCACATCATCTGAACATTCCCGTTGATAAATAGTTGAATAAATAAATACTGTATACCATAAAATACTATATAGTACATTCAAGTAGGCCTTTTCTTCTGGACAGGTACAGGCTCTGCCTTTGGTTTGTGGGCTACAGTACGTGCACAGCATGAAGCCACTCACCACATGCATTCAGAGGTCTGCATAGTGCAAACTGTTGTGTCTTTACTGTTGTGATCGTTTGGACTGATTCTGTCTCATTTGATGGGTTCATAAGTCTTTGAGGTCCTTGCTCAACAGAGACTACAAAGCTGTGAGTGTGCGGAACAGCTGGGTCAGGCAGAAGACAGAGGCATTCAGAGCTGTGCACTGTTTAGCCAACAGTTTGGTGCTCAGGTCCTGACAGCTGCGTTTACTGCTGGCCCGTTCTGCAGCGACACAAAAGTCTCTGAAAGAACGTGTCACGTCCACTAGACCAGACACGGCCTCTGCATTCCTCCTCTCACAGCGCTCACAGCTCGAGAACCAAAGCGCCAGAGACGTAAGTCCCACCAGGATATGAAAACACTCAACTAAAGTGCAGAACATCTCCTCTGGGCTCTGTTCGATCCCTACCACCCTGTGGCACCCCGCCATGAGCCGCCGCGCCTCTAGCTGCAGCACCCTCTTGTTCTCTGTGAAATGAGCTGGGCAGGTGTCCCGTGGGTGCTGCCCCCTCTCGCTCTCAGAGGACTGGTCTGTGTGGGTGGTCTCCAGGACAGAGAGCAGCTGGTCTACATCAGCTTTGAGCAGCTGAAACCCAGTGGGGAGGCTCGGGTACTGCTGCTTCCCCAAACGCTGCAACATCTCTTTATGTGAGTGAGTCTGGGGTCCATCATCAGACAGAGGGGAGAGCAGGGGGCTGAGCTCTGAGGCAGAGGAGGACAGCATGGAGCGCGGGAACGACGGAGTGGTCAAGAGCGAGACAGGAGCAGAGGTGATGAGAGGGAGACCCAGTGCATTTAACTGAGGCCCGCTGCTTTGTGTGCGACATGAGAATTCATACACTGTCAGCTCTTCGTCAAAAGTGTCTCCATCATTGAAGCAGTTTGTGTAGACAGACGAACAGCCACATGCATCCAGAGGGTCCACTACAGTATCACACCCAGAAACCGCAGGGCAGCCAGAGTCCGACCTCACAGAGACAACATCCAGAGGCACCTTCGACTGCAACGACTCTCCACAAACTGCAAACGGCCTGCAACCTCCAGAAATGTGAGATCTCGAATTGGACTCTTGGGGTCCACACATTAGGGCCTTTCCACTGTCAGAGCTGCTCTCTCGTGGTTCACTTGCTTCACTTAGACTCTGTTGGGTCACTACTACCGGAGCGATAATGGATGGACTAGTATTTATTCCTGGTACGTCTTCACCATGCTGAGTGAATCTGATTTTAGACACCGGCGCGGTGGTTACAGGACCTGGAGTGTCTATATACGAATTTTTATTTGGCTGAAAATGGTTCACAATTGAGGTTGGAGGTTCTATTACTGGAGCTGGCATACTCTGAACAGATGTAAAGTCTTTTTGGTCTTCTGACTGATTTTGTGCGGGTGTCAGTGACAGATCATTTTTTTCTTCTGAAAGAGCAGGATCCAAGTCTGAGCCCGTCACTGTAGTATCGGACTCATCTGATTCAATAGACTCAATAGCCAAGTCCAATGTCTCTGTCACATTGTTAACATCTGTAACACTTATTTTGATGTTTTTATCTTGATCTGTGATTTCCTCTGCTAGATTTTGGTTTGGGTTCCCAAAACCAGCCTGGTTAACTGACTCTAGCGAGCGGGACAGATAAAAAGGTAAATTGTGAATCTTGCTTCTGAGCGTGGATGCAGACAAGCGATTCATAATTGTAGGAGACCAAGCTTGGAACATGAAGTTAGACGGAGAATTAGTGGAGACTAAACTTGGGCTAACTAAATCTTTAGTTAGTGAGAATGTAAAGTCATTTGTAGAATCAACAGTATTTTTACAAGCAATTTGATTTTCAATATTAGGAGACATATTGTTTGATGCAGCACCAAGTTTTGAAGAGACTGAGAAAAGTGCACAGCTAAAATCTGAACTAAGAGAATAAAGCCTTTTTGTTTTAGTGTTGCCAATTTGAGATTCAACTGTATCAACTACAAAACTTTTCCTTGTCGCTACAACCCAATCAGGTTTAGTGTCACTCAAATTTGAATTTAAAGAGACAGTACCTTCATCATCCTCAAAAACATTATCAGAAGTGGTGCTGTCTGTAACTTCCTCACTTGCTGTCCGGGTAGAGCAAGCAACTGCCAAAGCCTCATCCTCTGTAGCACTGCCCTCTATCTGGGAAATAGTGGAATTACTTTGTACAACCTCCAAACACTGAATATCATTTGAATTGTTTGTGCTTTCGCTACCTTTCATTACGTTTTCTATTTCTGAACAGTAATTTTGAGTTGTACTGAGAACAGTTACAAATGGGGATGAGGGAGGAGCAGGCGGTGAGCAGAAGGATTTTGAATTGCATATAATTTCTTGAATATATTCCTCAATGTACGTATTCTGCTGTATTGTCATCACTGCTTCCCCAACTGTAGTTAATTTTGCATTTTCGCTTATCTTTTCTACAATACTTTTGGATATTTCTGGTAAAAACATGTGACTATCAAAAGGACCATTATTTAAAACACTTTTTGCCTCCTCGTGGGTTTCTTCCTTGCCATCACCTGTCCTATCAGCGCTCTCTTTTCCATCTGGCTCAACTCTACATCGCACCACGGTAATATTTGGAGAAGGGGGCTTTATCAAATCTGTAACTGATTTTGATTCCATTGACTCTGGCTCCATCTCCATTTCTTGCTTCCTGGTTATGTTTTGTGCTTCAGAAGTCCTTAGTTTATTTAAAGACTCTTTGGAGCAGTGTTTGGACAAGATTGGTTTAGACTCCAGCTGGGATGGTTCACCTTCTGAATGGGTCAATGAGGAGACAGTTGGACTTGGATTTTCGGTTTGCTCTGACGGTTCAGGGTCTGCGCTAAGCATCTGTGGATCAAAATATCCCACTGAGAGGTTTTTACGATGCTGCTTTTTGCTTTCATCTTGTTCTGGGAAAGACACAGTGGAGGTGTAGTCCGTTTCCAGATAGGAGCGCCGCTTTCGGGATCGTTTGCGGAGTTGGGACAGTCTCTCGCCTCCTGCTCTAAAGCCCACCTTTTTGTCTTGTCGTTCATTGGGTCCAGCTTCTGCCCCCTCACCCACAGCACACATACCTGCATGAGAGAAAAACACACAATACAAATAATTATGTTTTTCATTTGTATGTGTGTTTTGTGTGCAATCCATTTATGATATGAGTTCCACAACCCTATTGTAGGTAGTTGTATTTAAATGTTTAAATATTAATGAAAGTAGTGGAAAAGAAAAAAAAAAAATCCTGAAAATCTACTTATAAAGCAGTCAGCTTTTATGGTAACTGTGACATTTTAATTCTTGCAGTCAGAAGAGTAAATTTAGACTAAATAACTTTTTGTACTTATTCTGACATATTTCAACATGGGAAAGTGTGCAGAGTTGATATATTATAAGACATTTGCATAGCCAAAAATAGTAGGAATACTAACAGCAAATTATGCACTCTGTACACATTAACTTACTATTTTGTTAATCAATATCTCATTCTATTCAATAGAGTAAAGTAGTGTTCAACCAATGGCACAACAACACAATGGCAGAAAGGAGCAAGTTTTCCATCTGCCTGTAGATGGCAGTAGAAAATACTGTTTTAACAAAAACACTTGCTAGATTAGGAAGGTGCATATTGTGTTCTTTGTATCTCTACTGATGTACAATTCACTAATTCAGTAATATACTAGGAAGTAGTACATGACATTGGGTTCACCATATGTGAAAATGCTACAAATATCCACCCATTTGTGCTGTATATTGCCAAGAAAACTCAATTACCTCTTTTTGCTGACACTAATCTTGGATCTTCAGGGGAGGCAAGCTGATCTCTGGCATCAAAGAACTCCTCCTCTGAACTGCTGTCTCCAAAACCAGGGGGCGGTTGGAGAATTGGGACCTGATCCAAAGCAGAGTCCCCCTCTGAACCTCTTTCACTTCCTCTTTGGGACAAACTCCGAGCGCTGTCCGGGGTGATATTAGACACCAGATTGTAATAACATCGAGCATCATTTTGGTCAAAGTTAAAAACATACTCTGCATTTGAAGTTTGAGAAGATGTTGATGCTGGGGTAGCCTTATCTTTACCACTGTCCCATTGTAACTTTTCTCTTCTCTTCCTCAATTCTTCCTCTACATCCTCATCTTCTTCACTTGCCTCTGGGGGACTTGGGAGGAAATCTACGAGTCGTGACAAGTCAGCAAAACGCATTGAACTATCCTCACTACATGCATTTTGGTAGCTTGTAGATGGTGACATAGGTGGAGTGAGTATTTGCGGGTCTGCTCCGTCTCCGGACTTTCTACAGACTACTTCTTCAGTATTTGGGTGTAACAGAGGGTGCGAATGGGCAGGTGGAGGTCCGAGAAGGTGTGACTCATTTAGGACAGGGGTATAATGATGTAATTGAAGTGGGACAGTTTGAGATATGTGGTGGGATGAGCAGGATAGCAAGTCGTCTTCCTCTAATGCGTCTAAGGAATCACAGGACAGGCTCGTCAAAACATGGCAAGAATCTGAAGCTTCTGATTGGTGCTCCTCTGCCCCTCCACCAACCACCCTCTCTGTCATGTTCATTTCTCCATGAGTTTCTAACATTATCACTTCTGAATCTGCATTCTTCATGTCCTGTAGGGGTTTTTCGATCTTGAACTCTCTCTTCCTCCTCTTCACCCTCTCTTTTCTCCTGATCGCATGTGCTTCGGAGGAGGAGCGGTTGCGTGGGGAGGTCACCATGTTTATGATGTCAATGTCAGTGGAGCTATCAGAGTCGCTGGCACATCTCGACACGTAACCTGCAGCATAAAAACAACATGGTGTCAACAATATACACCAAGTCATATTTGCCATGAGGCGAGACCAGTTTATGGGTTTTCTGGCAAAATATGTCATTGCTATACAATAAAGAACACAACAATGCAATTGACGATGCTGGAATTCTCACAATATCACAATATTCAATAGAGCTATATCTTATAAATGTAAGGAAGACTCACAAATGAGTATTATGCAGTTTCTTTTTTTTGGTTGTCTTGTCTCTGTGTTAATATAGGAGGCAGCTGCAGCTATATTAAGCTCTGTAAACAAGAGGACTGTGTGATATGGTGATCGAAATTGTGATATAATTCCTGAACTAAGTCATTTCAATATGCTATTTTAGTAACATATTGTGATTCAAAAAAGCAAGTTTATGTTCTAATGCTGACGGTATTCCCCATCCAATCCTCTGATTGGTCAGCCTCTACAATGTCCCAAGTGAGTGACAGGTGATTTAAAGGTTGTATAGAGGATTTTCCAAGGAACGAGAAATCCAGCGACTGTTTGTCCTTTTTCAAATGTTGCGCATGCGTGAAACCACCCCCCCTCCCCTACAGCTCCCTACGTAGAAACGCCTTCTCCCTCCTCCTCACTACGCCAGAAACAGGTTTGTTTACAGCCGCTGCACATGACTTGTAAACAACTAACTACAGTGTTGGTTAGGCAAGACGGAGAAGTGAGGAGCGGGGGGAGCGGGTGTGCGGACATTTCGTTCGCGGACGAGAAGTGAGGAGCAGGGAGCAGGGAGAGGAGAGGGGAGCGGTGCGCGGAGATTCCGTGCCCGGAGAAGTGAGGAGCAGGGGGAAGAGCGGATCGGGCAGCGGGGAGAGGAGCAGGAAAGGGGTGCAGAGAAGAGTGCGCGGAGATTCAGTGCGAATGAACTAGCTACAACACACAGCAGCAAGCGGACTCTCTTTGCCTTGAAAATTACGTTTTCAGACATAGGATATCGCTTTCGTGTCCTGAAAAACGTTTGTCTAGCTCTTGGAAATAAAGTACGTTTTCATAATAAGCAGAAGTGACCTGTCCAGGAGTAATTTGTGGACCAGTGCGTCAGTATTTAGACCCTGTGTCTGCTTCATTTGCGCCATCGCTGGAATGAATCTACAAGAATCACCTTAGTTTGGCTTCGCTGCTTTTCCCCTTGTCTTCTTCTTTCAGCAATCTCAAAAACGGACTTTCTTTTGCGGCTAACTGCTCCTGGATTCTTGTCTGCCATTGCAACAAACTTTGTGCGAACTGCGAGGAAGATATAGGTCAAAAAAAGCCGCTAAGAACTGTTGCGTTGGTGGAGTAAACAGCGTCTGTGCGGCTTGCGTCTGTGGAGTGCGTGACAGGCGTACGTAAACCACGTACCGGCGGCGCGCAGGCAAGTCAGTTACGCTAGAAACGTATGGAGATTGATTGACAGCCTGTCAGCTAACAGATAACGAGGCAGTGTCGTTATCTATTGGCAAATGTTTAGCTGGCCCCACCACGTCCAGAGTTGATTAATTTTTATTCTCTTTTTTTTGGTCATCATAATTACAAGGCTACTGCACCTCTATAATGCTATCATTGACAATTTGAAACAAAAAAAATCCTCCATACAACCTTTAACCAACTGCAATGAAGAGTGAGCATTCAGAAGAAGCAAATTACTTTAGTTATCTCTTCAAGACAGTATCAAGATACTATGGTGATAAAAATGGAAGAAAACTGTGATATAAATGTTTATATTTCCTACCCCTCATGCCAATTCACATGTAAAACAAGAAAAGTAAAAAAAAGTTTGCCTTTTAGTTGAGAAATGAGAAATCAGTCAGAACAAATAAATGTGAACTTTGCAAGACACACATTTTTGTTTGGTCAAAATATTTGAATAAACTCATAAGGGAGGGATTATTTTACCACTAAATCTTTAGTACCTTCTTCTGCCGATATTTTGTACTTTTTGTCATCCTCTATCCAGGGAAAAACATTAATGTTGGGGTCAATAAACACTCGACAATACCCCGCTATAAGGCAGGACATGTCTTTAGCTGCTGCAGTCTCCAGGAGCAGGGTGATGGGCTGTAAAAAGGAGAAAGAAGACTGATTAGATTAAGAGCAAATTGTAGCGATCTGGGCCATTTATGTTGATCTAGGGCTGCTCTTGCCTTGATGTCCTGCACATATATTTTAACCAGGCTGACGCGGTCAGATTCGGGCACCAGTTCAACACGTGTGATGCTGTTGAAATCGGTGAGGGCCGTCATGATGCTGAGTTTTCGGTTGACCACTTGGCTTACACCATAACGAGCTCCGACCAAAAGGTTAACAGTCGACTCTCTGTCCTGAAGCTGGGAAATACAGAAGGTCAAATTAGGTTGCAAAAATATAGTCTCAAAAACAATCTCATGCCTTACCTATTCATAAAATTGTTATCAATTTATGACTTAAATATGATCAGAATCAAATCTGTACTGATTTACAAAAAAACTCACAAAAGGAAGGAGAAAAAGCAGATAACAGGTCTAACTAAAACTTTTCAATACCAAGGTGAAGACTAGATCCTTAATTTTGACACCATGACAATAAATCTTTTAGAATATGTGTTCTAGCAGAAAATAACAATTCTAAAACTATTCACTAAAGATGTTTGTGTAATCCCTTAGTTGCCCAGGTAGGATCCATAGTAAAAGTAAAATTAAATTCTGTCAAGTGAACAAATATTTTAGAGTGAAGACATTTCACCGTGAAACATTCAATTAAAAAACACTGACAGAATTGAGTTTTTCTTTTGGTATTCAGAAAAGATTCAACTTTGTCCTATCTATGTCATTATTCACTATTGATACTTAGAATCTGGATAGCAAATTGTTAAGTTCCCTGGAAAATTATTATTTTGATTACAACATTTAGCAGATTGGTTGCAAATTAGTATCACAAGACCATTCTCCACAATGTGTGTGGTTTTCAATATCAGTGCTCCTTTATCAGTGTATTAGGGTGTCAGTCCTTGTGCTTACCATGAGTGTAGCACTAAATGATTTTCCTCCAAATGACTTGAGGTCACAGAGCTCTTCCAAATAATTGATCCGTGCCTGATCAATGGAAGAAGGCTTCAGTTTGGGATCCTGCAGTGACTGGCACTTCTTCAGGTGATAGTTTATGGCCTTCTTCAGGTCTTTCTCCTTCATGTTTCTCAGTAATGTAGTGGACACAAAGCTTTCTATACCCCAGGTTTTACTGTAACAAATACAGAAATGCATTTAAGACAAATGACCGCAATTAGGACAATGTTTGAGCAATAATTTTACCAGAATTGTACAAGTTCCAGGATATTCTTTTATAAACCTGGGCCCTATGTAACTTTTCTTTTAAAGGTTTCTGCCTTCCATCTGCTTGCCTCCATAGAAATGTTATTGCTTTGCCTAGAATGTTCCACAGTATGGCATTAAACTTATCAATCTTACACATCTGACCGGTAACTTGGTAACTGGGTGACGTCCTGGTAGCGTCACCCAATATAAAAGTTAAATGCCATTCTGTGGAACATTGCAGGCAAAGCAATAACATCTAAATGAAGACAAGCAAGTGGTTGACCCTTCATCAGAAAAGTCACATAGTACACCTTTAGATCCTTAAGACCATACAGAAAAGGTTTATCCAATAAAATATGCACTTAGCAAGATTTTGACAAGGACTAAACTGGCTCTACTAAAATATTGTGCAAAACTAGTATAGAACAGAAATATTAGACCGCCACTCCACCAAAACAGATCATATTAGGTGTAAGTTATCATTAAGGCAGTTTACAATAAATAGGGTGTATTTACATCAAGGAGGTGGAACAGAAAATTTAAGACTAAATTCTCAGACTAATAATCATGGATTACTCAAGCATGTGTGAATGAAACAAAACATAAATCCAGGTAAATTTTTGAGGCAGTAACATTATAACATAAAGCTCACAAGAGTAAACTTTGTGTAATATAGGACCATTAAGATCAATTCAATGAGCTACTTATGTACTTGTAATGTTATTGTCTCACGTGATTGTCTTGAGGTTGGTCTTCGGGGAGTATCCACTGCTGGCCAGTCTCTCCTGGATGTGCAGAGCTGCGAGCCGTAAAGCCGTGTTACACTTCATCTCCACTGCAAAGCGCTCCTGTAGCACATCATTCACTCCCTATGGCACAATTCAAACAGCTCGTCAAAGGCTAAGTAATACATCACAAACATAAGCAAACCCAGAGTGACGTTTCTAATTAAAGTAGCTGCACTCTTGTTCTTCTAATAACACATTATCCAATATTACTTGCCATAACAGCTGGGGTTAAAGTAGGAGTAGAATTGAAGGATTAAATCAAGGAACAATACCAGGGATGAACAAAGACAAAATTAAGACTTAACATAGATAAACCTGGTATAACACAAGCCTAAAGTTAAACTCGAACTTTAACAGGAATTTCAAAATTAAGTTTAGAATCCAATCTCACACAAATAATCCATTCAAAACACTGCAGTGATATACATATTTTTGAAATATATTTTTGGACACCCAAAATGTAACTGAAACCAATGAATATTGTCTATGTGTGATAAAAGTGCCTTTTCAATAATGATTTGTATCCAGTGTATTAAATTGACATAAAACTAAATTGACTTTGTCACCTGCAGAAAGAGGTATTCAAAGGACATGGGGTCTTCCTCGAGCAGAAGCTGAGGGTCCCTGGGAACAAAACAGGCTCGAAACAGACATCTGTAATCATGGGGTTCTTTCTTCTGCACAATCTACAAAAGATTATACAGACATGTTTAAAACATGTTTAAATACCCAGAAATCATCATAGAGTTTTATAGTGTCTGCACCTGCTGTATTCTCTCATCTTCGTGGAGGTGCAGTAGTTTGGTCACACCGGGCTGCTGCTCAAGAACCAATGAAAAGTGCTCAATTCGAATCAGAGACAGTTTCTCTTTCAGCGTCATCACTATGTCCTGGAATAGAGACAGTATGAGTACATAATAATAATAATACTTTTCATTTCAAAGAACAGTATTAAAACTGGTAATAACTAGTTCTACAGTAGTAGCTTGTCAAGAAAGGGAGGAATACAAGCCGAATGGAAGTATAATAATTAGTAAACGTAAGTCAAAGGCGTCTGTATACTGTGCGTATGTAATTGCTGTATAATGAGGGTCTCTGCTGTGCTTCTATGATGTGTGTCTCTAAATAAATAAACCATAGTATTTCTGAATAGCTGTAGTGGTAGAATTTGATAAGTTTGGTAGCAGCACCAGATGTGTTAGTAGTAGTAGCACAGTAGTAGATGTACCTTTTTCTAGCAGTGGAAAAGTACAATAGTAACTGACATTTAATGTGTTCACTATTACATTGTTGAGTTGATTTTATTCAAATATTTTGCACAACACTACATCTAATAATGACATGTACTTATGAAAAGAAAAATACACATGTATGCTAAATGCACTGCTAGTACTACTTCTGTTACTGCTGGTGGCTGTTAACAAAATCTTTTACTTCTCTTGGTTATCAATTTTTTGCTAACAGTCAACAATGTTGTTTATAGTGTCTTGCTAAACTGTAATTTATTGTTGACCCATACCTTTACAGTGGTGCTTGGTTCAAATTTGAAGGCCTTGGTCTGTCCGTTTTCCAGATAAACCTTTAGGACATTGGGCAGAAAGAGCAGCGAGTTCCCCTTCAAAAATAGAGGTCAAAGGTCAAGACAGAGCATCATAAAAACTCCATCACAGCCATAAATAATGAACATAACCAGACATATTACAACCAGCCTGGGTCAACGCAAGTCAAACCCTGGCTTTTAAGATGTTTTACATTCAGTGACCCAAAAGATATTGAGGATGTCTTTGGGAAAGAAGAGGGGTTAGAACAGCAGAGAGCTCATGTTTGATGTTTCAGGCTTTCAGGCTAACATGTGAAATAGTGGGTCCAATTTTGGAGCATACATTGTATGTACTAGTATTCTTATCTGTTTTTCAATACATATTAAAATTGCTAAACAAATGCAAGAATCAGAAGTAAGACCAGAGCTGCTAATACATTAGACTCTGCAGAGGACATTGTATTACTTCAATAACTGCAGCCATTGCAATTTGCTAATTACAACCTTTAAATTATGATTTCATTGTGATTCATTTTGCTATCTTAGTAGACAGATTTATAGAAGGGTAAGGAAATATTCTCTGTAGAAGAAAGCCACAAGGAAGACTAAAGAGAATACATGTAGATATAGTGAAAGAGGACACGAATGTAGTCATTTTGTTAACTTGTGTGCATTTAGCTTACAATACATTATAATATTATTACTTGTACACAAAATTATAATCTTCAGGACAACAGCTATTGATAATACTATATATATTTCCCCCATTTGTATATTTCCATTCTTTTTTCTACTTTGTTTATACCATGCGGCTCTCCCACTGCCCCTCCTTCACTAATATGGCTGTATTGTGCAGTAATCGTGGGCATTAGGAGACAAGAGGAGAGGCACATATTGATCTGTGTTTTCTCAATGATTAGTAATGGGCACTCTTATCTCTGTGGTTTTCCCCATCTCGCTAATTTCACATCCGCAGACAGGAAGCAACGATAACCAGCTACACATGTATTTAAAAACTGCTCACGGTTAATTTTGCTTGGAAAAATTATCATAAATAATTTCTTATGGAGAAGCAACAGGGAACTTATAATACATACTAAACTATGGCATGTGTTCTTCTGTAATTGGCTTTCACTGTGTAAAATACTATCTTAGGTAACATAGACACAATTAAGATCCCTATGAAGGCCCTATACTATAAAGAAAACAATAACCCTGACCTAAACTTCAATTGGGATCTCCTAGTATTGTGGTACATTCCATAATTTCATTAAAAAAATCTTCTTGTTATATTTTTCCTAACAGGCTTAGTAATATAAGGCCAAAAACAGAAATGCTCTGCTAATAAGATCTATATAAAATCATAGTTCACAAGTTTGAATTGGTATGGGGATAGCGATACCTTAGTGTAAGATACTACAGCACACTGTTATACTATTCATGGACTTCAATCACATTTTTATTGTCATGGATTCCATTGTGAGGAATTTTTTGCATTCAAATAATAGACAAATTAGTTTTGAGTTTGAGTCCTCATTTTTGATAATTCAAAACCAATTCAATCGGTTTCAGGATGATGAAGATTTGGAGTATTGTCACAGTAATTAACAATTTAAAACAAAACATTATATCTTTTGAAAGGGAAGAAATCTTCAAAAAGTCTCATATAACAGGAAGCTGAAAGCCAAAAATAGTAGTAGTAATTATATACTATATTACACTACTGCTACTATAGCTGTAGTAGGCCATTGAAAGTGAAGAACTCATATAATCTTTTCCATTTTATTTTAAAGTAAGTGACACATTTCATTATAATTAGTATAATTAGTAGGCTTAACTCTGGCTCTGTGGGATGTACCTGAGACTGTCCGTTGACTTCCACCTCTTCAGCAAAGCGCACTTTCACAGGGTTACACTTGAGCTTGGCCTTTTTCTCTGGAGTGATGAAGGATGACTTTGGCCCCTGCAAACAGAGGTCTCAGTCAATGAACTCCATCAGTTGTTTTCAAGAAAAGCCAAAATTAGCATCTACAACTATAATCTTCAGTTAAAAAAGTAAAAACTAATACTGTTAATGTTGATAATAATTTGCATAATAACACATTTCATTTATATAGCACCGTTCAAAACACCCAATGCATTATTCATTATACACTATAGTGGTAAACTAGCACTGTCAAGCTACATATGGGTGAAAAGTCTTGCCAGTGGTCTTTTATCACAGTACTAACTAAGCAGGGCCTAATCTTCTTAATTAACTATTAACATTTTTGTCATTATGGTAAATGTTTCTAAATACATCTTAATTTAAAAACATCTTTGGTAATTACTTTTCAGAAAGTCATATATTACAGTTTTACAATTTTTTGTCACTTCCTAATTGTATAAAGATTTGTGTCTCAAAATTTGCTTTGGCACCAACACATATAAATAGTTAAAAATATCGGTGACCCAGGAAATGTTAAGAAAGGTGTTAAAATGTTGCATAATCTAAGACAATAGCTCTGTTTCACACTCAATGTTGCAGGAATTGTATTATGTGTAAACTAAAATGCTGTAATGAAAAACACATTTTTCATTAGACACATTATATCCTGTAATGTTCTATGCAATGTTACAATTGTGCCTGCTTATGCACTCAGTTGTATCTGTATGTGACCTTTTCCACAACAATATGACCATAGAGTTGATATTAAGCATAGTTATAATGACTCACCAGTTATTTTATCACAATTTTTAACAATCATTGACACAAGCTCCTCTCTTTTTAAACCAACCAATGCAATAATGAGCTGTGCCTGTGTATAATATAAAGTCCAATAATCAATATACAAGGCTACTTAAAATAAGTTTTCTTTTACTTTGAAAGTCTAAGGAAAATCCCATTATGTTCTTTATCTTCACCAAGACTAGCTGTGAGCGTGGGATTACACAGCAAACTGAACCAACTTAATTAGGGCATTAAGGCAAGACCTGGTCAAACAGGAGTACGCCAGGTCAAATTCAAGACAGTGTAGTAAACCACTAATGGACCAGAATTAAACCAGGACAAGACTAAGACTAAACCAGGCCTTAGTCACAGTTTTCAGGTAGTCTATGTGCAAATGTGAATTTGTCCTCAAGACAATAAAACTTCAAGACTAACCCAGGATGAGAGCTCGCCCAGTTCACAAAACCACTACACCTAAGATTACTGTTTGACATCATTGTTTAGGAATTTTATCATATGACTGATGATTGCTTTCGGTCTATATTTTTTCATTACAATTCTGCCAGACTGATATATTTCCAAAAACATTTTCCAAATCTTCACTCAGACTCATTGGGGGAGGTGCGAGTGGTCATGAATCACTTAAATCTGCCCCCGTCAGCAACAGCCCTAATGAGAAACGCTGATGTACCGATCCACTTCACCTGCACTCACACATACATCACCCAAACACTTAGAGACACTGCCCTCAGATCATTCAATGCACTGAGGAGGGGAGACACCAGGCCAGACACCAGCCAAATTGTTGTGTTGGATTATTGCCAGTTAAAATATTGTGATTTGAGTCTATTTTTCTGTACTGCATCATTTTTCATATTGCTACTAACTCATGTGAAGCACTTCAGTCAGATAAGCTGTATAGATAAGCTTGAATTGAACTGACCAATTTTAAATGATACAATTTAAAACTTTATCTAGAAATTCAATTCATAGATCAAATTTTGAAATGCATTCTGATGCATGACAGCAGTCTGAAATATTAACTGCAAAACTAATATATAAATCAAGTGCATTTCTTAACATGTCTGAAGTGGTCTAACCATTGTTTCCCAAAGACTGGGTTGCGACCCTCAAGTGGGTCGCAAGAGATTTTTTTCTTGGGTCGCCTTGTCACAATCTGCATGTAGGTCTGCAATATACAGTTCTGACACATGAGAGAGCTAGGGACTATTTTGTTCCAATATTGCTGGTTCAAATGAATGTTGAAAAGAAAAAAAAATGGGCTACAATTAATGTCCAAATAGGTGACTTATGGATCCTTTTTATTTCTGGTTCAATGACTGTTTTTCATTGTTTAAAACTTGAGTAATACTAATTGTTCAGAGAGACACAGTCACTCAGTCAACAATAAAATATCCTCATTAATGTTCAATAATGGTCAAATCCACCTTTATTTTGTGATTTACGAATAATGTCTACTGACTTCGGTCACAAAGGGTTGTGACTTTTAAAATATCCGTCCCCAGAAATGAAAGTTTGAGAAACACTGGTCTAAACACAGTTGGCATATTATGTATATTATAGGACCCCACAGAAAAACCAAGACATTGGTAAAACCAAGATCAGATCAAGTTTCACCACATTTTAACCTAGGTATATGGAGTCTGTATGACTGGCCCAGTGCAACCATTCAAATTGCCAGTACAGATTACATCTATAATCTTAAATTATTGCCTCTTCTTATGTTTATCTTATTGCGACCCAATATGATCACAGTTCATTGAAAAATTGATTCCTCTTGACATCCCTTGAAAAGTCATGACAGACAAAGAACATGGGGCTATGGCAGTTAATACAGGGTCTTTCTGATGCTTTAATACATTGTCAACTACAACATTGATTGAATGGCGAGACCTTGGCATTGAAGCACACGTTGGCCTTGACCCTCAGTCTAATTGACTTGTTGATGAATGGTTGCATTGACCCCAGCATTTTTATGTCCCATGTTGATAAACAGGAGGCGTGTGGTTACATAGAGTAAGCACCATGCAACATAGCAGTGATGTAGTAAACTCACCAGCATTGTCCGCAGCACTGTCATCGTCAATGTATCGTGACACTCCCTACAAAGAAAACATACACAGTTTTAGAATACATATTAAAATTATTGTTAAAGGGCCCATATTACGCTGATGTATAATGTTATGCTGTTGTTTCCTCATCAAGAACATACTCGGAGTTGTGTTTTGTTTCATTCACACATGTTTAACACACAAACCCTGTTTTTCTCTCAAACTAAAAACACTCTGTTCCCCCTTGTGATGTCAAGTGGTAATACAAGAAATGCTCCACTATGTTTTTAAACTCCATACACCTTCTCTAGAATCATTTGGATGCTTTCAGCCCTGTAATTGCCAACTTATACTGAACAAAAGGTAAAAGGTAGTTGTTCACTTGAAAACTACCACTAAATGACATCACAAGGTGGAGCAGAGCATTTTGAACTTTGGAGATGTAAACAGACTAACAATGCAGGATTACTAGGGGTGTAAGGATATCCAAGTCTCATGATATGATATCGTCACAGTATGAACCTCATGGTACAATATTTATTGTGATATCCTGGGAAAGCTCACGATATGGTGGGTAGGTTCACGATTAGAGATGTCACAGTATCCAAATCTCTCTGTACGATATTTTCATGATATACATCTCATGGTACGATATTTATTGAGATATTTTGTGGAGGCTAAAAAACTGTTAATATGCTACTTTTTCCTCTTAAAATGCCTTGACAAGACTTAAAAGTGCTTAGAACTGTTATTTCTTCATGTAGTCTGCACTGAAATGGAGCAAAGGATCATGGTCTATGTAGTTCCCTCTATCTTTTCGTAGCTATTACTGCACCATAACTTTTAATTTAAGCAAAGAGACTTGTAGTTCGATATATTGTATATGTATTGTATATTATTGTGAGAACTTTGACGATATGATATCGCAATATTTCGGTTATTGTTACATCCCTAAGGATTACTCAAACAACTCCAGGTATGTTTTTGATGAGGTAACAGCATACTAACATGGCTAAAAGCTCACTAGAGATAAATAAATGTTTTGTAATAGTTACTAAAATTTAGGTGATTACCAAGTATAAAAAGATGTACATTTACTCTTAGCTAAATAGTATGACATCATCACTTCATCACAACATAACATAGAAAAATGCCATTATGAATTATGAGACCTTGCCTTGCAAATTACCTTACATATAGGCATTTAGTATCACCCTCATGTCCATTACTACCCCTGTGTGTATAGCAGTGTGCAAAAGAGTGGACCTGAGTATTTCGGCAGCCTGTGCAGGGGTCAGATCATCCGCACAGACATTATTGATCTTCACCAGGCGGTCTCCAGGGACGAGGCGGCCATCTGCGGGACCACCTGTATAGAACATGTCCTTGTGCTGTTTAGCCTTATACACATATTCATATCACATCTGGCACACACCAGGCACACATGCACACACAGCACACACACAAGGCTCAAGCAAGAGGCCTTCCATCAATGTGCATATATTAACTTATATAGTGTTCGCTTAAAATCTTAAAGCTTAAATCTCATTATGTATGCAACTAGTCTATAAATCAAGTCCTAGTTTTAAATGTACTTTTCTGGTAAGCAGTCCACTACCTAATTCTGCGATGTTGTTGTTTTGTCTGAAATGTTGTTGTTTTGTCTGAAATGTATGACATGAAAGTATTGCATTCAACTGTGTTTTATTTCTGTGGGGTCGCATCTCCACAGATCTGACCTGTGACCTGACCTTGATCTGATTGTGCCACCTGATTGTCTCTATGAAGTTAGATGAGTTTAATGCTATATTATGGAACATTCCAAAGAAAGCAATAACATCTCCATAGAAAGAAACCCTCCACCAGGAATGTTAATGCCCCTTTAAAGGTAAAGGTTCTTTATTTATATTTATAATCAGGACTGGGGATCGAATCCACAACAACTCTAGGTCAATTCTAGAAGATTCAAAGCATCAATCATCTTTGCATGTTTTTTTATTTTTTTTATTTTTTATTTCTAACCTTTTTAAATCGACCAACCTCTATTCTCAATGATTCAGTGCTCTGTAGAGGCACATTAGGAATGCTATTCCCCGTTCAAATCAAGTGACCATTGAAATTATTGATTGAAAACATGGATTGAAACAGCAAGTCCTAGAAGCTCCTCTGGACTAATGAAAACCTATATCTAAATTGGGTTAAAAAAGTCAAAACCCCCCTGAAAAAAAACACTAACAATCATTAGAAAGAACCGCAGTAAGATAAGACAACTCCGGTAGATCATGTAATATGGACTGTGAAAAGGATTGAGATTCTGGGCTGATAGCCACTCTGCCACTGTGTATTATGACTAAGGCTAATAGTTATTTTAGTAGTTGACTAGTTAGTGATCCATTTTCATATTAATTGACAATTCACATTATTATTTTTATTATTTATTTGATTAATTATATAATATAAAGGAATAAAGCTAATTCTACTGTATTCCTCAATTTCACATGACTTTTTTCAGTTATGAACACCATTTTGAGGACTTTAGACAGTTAAACTTGATAAAAATATGTGTTTTGCCCTTGATGTGTAATACAAAGGCATTCGTGCTATCACAGTTTATGTTTGGCAGGAGCAGATGGCACAGCAGAGCACTTGATCTGCCCTTAAACCTCCAGGGAATTCAGACATCCAACTTCAGACAGCAGCAAAGGCTAAGTGGCATACAAAACTATTCTCTATATGTGGCCCTTACAGTGCAACAGATGGAAGCAGACAATAATAAATGCAAGACAGCCATTTAGTGAAGGAATGATCTATTCGCCCAAGAATCGGGGCTTGGTGTCAAAATAACTTGACAAAACTTACAGAGTACATCCTTTCTTTCCTTTCTTTGCTGCAATATGATTTGATCAGCTAAATGAAATTCCCATACAAATGTGTAAGTGTATTTAAAGTAAGACAAAGACATCTGAGCCACAAAAGTTTCTGGAGTAGCTCTGTAGTAGTAGAGATGGCTGTAGACTGCGACTACTCAACACAATGGGTTGATGTTTCTATTTTGGGATTCCAACTGTGCGATTGTTCAGCTGCAGTGTTTGATGCTGCACAAAGAAAGCACTTTCGTTTTAAAGAACTGGAACCATGTCATATTTCTTGACCACGATATAACTATAAGAATTTTTACTATACAAAAGTAACTGTACACAAGGTAATTAATGAGACAAAACAAGTAATTAGACACAAATACACTGGAGACACCTTATGATAACACAGCTTCTTACATTATGCTTCTGTACATGGGTTGAAAGCAAGACGTTGTTATGACGTTCTAATTTTCAATCTGAATATACTGGTATATAAGGAGAAAATTGTAAAAGCTAGATGAACAACTTTATTCTTGTTAAAGGTCCTACATTACACCAAATGGATTCTTGTGAGATTTAAGTCATGCTATAAAGATATTACCCCATTATTGACACATTTGTTCATTCACACACGTTTGAGTAACCGTTTGTTATTAGTATGTCTACATCTCCAAAGCTTATAATGCTCTGTTTCACCCTGTGATGCAATGTAGCGATGACTTCCAAATTAACAGTTACCTTTTACCTTTAGTTCAGTAGAGACTGACTATTTATGGTCTGTAATCATCCAAACGATTCTAGTGAAGGTGTATGGAGTTTAAAATCACACTGGAGCATGACATTACAAGGAGTGTTTTCTGTTTGAGAGAAGAACTATGCAGGAATTGTGTTAAACACATGTAAATGAAACAAATGTGTCAATAATGATGTAATATCTTTATAACATTGCTTAAATCTCACAAGAATCCATTTTGTGTAATATAGGACCTTAAATGAGTAAATGTTGTGTTTTCACCTAATATACTGAATATATAAAACATATAATAATATTCTAATAATAATCTAATAATGTAGTTGCATTTTAGTGATTGCAACCCCAGAGCCAAAAGCAGCATTAGGACCCTTTGTTTCAGTGTTTCAGGCATGTGAATAGTAACTAAATGCTAAAGGGTTTGTGAGAGCTAAAGACCAGTTGGATAAAGACATATCAATACAATTAGGATAATGAAGATTTAAACCAAGTGCAAAAGCAAGTTTTATAAATGTTTACCATTAAGTGATGGGTCGATATTATGAGGTGTTCCCAAGGTACAGAGCTGGCTGGGTATCCTACAAATTAGTAATTGTAGCTCAAATTACTGAGATCATAATCGATTCTGTTCAGTTAGTTTGGTAGTGTATAATGTTATGTTTAATAGGTGTACTTTTCCATTCATTTATAAGGACAATGACTACAGTGCTTTCTACATTTAGTTGGTAAGTTCCCTCTTTAATCCTGATTTATTGTGCTTGTGTGCAGTGTCAGTCCCCACAGAGGTTTCTAACATTTCGTCTTGTCCTCGGGCCAGTGGACCGCAGTACTCTGGCACTGCTCCACAACTTCATCTGCTAAGGAGACGCACAAATAAACTAGGGTCTAACAAGGAACTCAAGAGCGAAATGAATGCAGAAGAAATGTAGAGAAATTAACTAATTTGCAAATGGAAAATCTCAGCCATCTCAGACCAGACCAATACATTAAAGCAAAGGTGAGGACATATGGTGAATATTAACAACAAAAGAGCAAAATAACTGAATGTAATTTTTGATGTCATTTATACAACATTATTGTCCTGTGTGTCTATTTGTTTTACTTCTAATTACTTGTTTCTAAATCTTTATTAGTCCTTTATCTTGAATAGCCAATTGCATCTTTGACTTCACCTTCACAAAAATTGTGCATATTCTTGTTACACCTACCAACATTTTGTAGTAAAATTAAAAATGGTTTAGGATATTATTGTTCAAGTATGTTCTTGCATCCATTCAAAGTATGTAGTGATGAGACGTACGGCAGTTTGACAATAATAGGAGAACAGAATAGATGTTCACGCTAGAAATTAAATTTATGCATAATTTATACAGACAAATTGTGAATAATGTCACCTTTACACATGTGGTCCAGATGCTCCATGCTTCAAGGCTACAAATTGAGACGTATTGTCCACCCATGTTACACTACAACTGCCTTAGGACTGCCAAGAAGAAGTGTATGTCTTGATCAGAAGTAACAGCTAAGCAGACCAAAACACTGCATCACCTTGGCACAGAAAACCACCCACCCGTGGAGAGGAGCTCCAAAAAAGGAAAAAAAAAAAAAAAACTTCTCTGAAACTGCAGTGTCAGCTTTGAAACAATACTCCAGAGAAGCACTTTATACCTGCTACTCAGGAACTGCCCACTTTAAGATATGCTGCTATACGCACACTGTAACAGGATAATGCAGGCTTAAAAGCATAAGGATGCTTTATAAGGATGTATGGGTGGTATATTGTTGATGATGGTGTCTATTTGTTTTCATTGTAGGCATCTTATATATAGAGAGAGACATACCAGGGGTGATGTCTTGCACCACGATAGGAGTGCTGGAGGACAGGGTGAGGCCGTGCGAGCAGAAGCCTGGGTCTCTCTGGATCTGGATGCTAAAGCGAAAGCCATAACTTCTCTGTTCTGGAACACTGGAGTGGGACGTCTTTTCTTCTGACGTACTCCTGTCTCTGCAAAAATTATATAGGAGACTATGTAGTATGGGTTCACAACAGGGCTGCACTGTTATGGGGAAAAAAGCTATTCTATTCTAAAGAGCACTGCAATTAGATATGCAATTTATTTTTATATTTAGTTATTTTATGTATTTCATTGTATGTTATATCATATATTTATGGATTTTATGAAATTTCATAATTTTGATTGTCTGACAAAAAAAAAGAGTATTGTATATACATACACTGCAAATCAGAGTGCCTCTGCAATTCTTCTTTTGTCTCCACAAGAACCCAAGTCCGATTAGGATCATTTTTTGAAAGTTTTGACCACTTTTTCAAGTTAAGTGAAATGAATGTTGTTGTTTTTTTAAGTCACAATATTTTGTTAGCAAAATGATTAAATTATTGCAATGAATTCCATAAAACACAAAAAATATGATATGACATAAAATAAATATATATCTATCCAATATATTGATCCAATCCAAAATTTGAGGTATAAGTGACAAGACAAATTGGGAATCAGAGGTCAAAAACTACATTGCATATAGGGCTGGGCAACATGGAGATATGTTACTTTGGTGATATTGTCAAGATTGTGAAAAATTTTATGCAGCATTCTGCTCAAACACAGACACCTTTCCCCACCCATTCCTCTATTGCTCAGCCACCCTAAGTCTCTGAGTGAATAACAGGGGGAAATAACCAATCACAGTGAAGTATGAACTCTCAAGCAGATGACTTAAACACACTTAAAGGTACACTGCATAACTTTTTGGTTAGGGGTCCATCATCTATTTGTTTCTATGGATATGTCATTGCTCTGCCTGGAATGTTCTGCTGTATGATATTAAACAGCTCTGCCTTACAATTATTTAATTACGGGAGGATTTATAGCTCAAAAATACATAGAAAAACAGGCATTCTGACAGTGAGTGGGGTTCACAGATCTGACCTGTCACTTGATCCACCCGAAAAGTTACACAATGCACCATTAAAGCCATTCTAAAGATACTAGACGTCAAGGAAATGTCTGTATAACACCCGTAATGTTAATTACAAACACATAATAGCATAATGTGAAAACATGAACCAACATCGACACATAATAAAATTAAAATTGTAGCTCCAAGATTTTTTGTTCTATATCCCCCACTCCTAACTCCATAGTTATTTATGAATGCACACACCAACAATACACCAATTTCAACACACAAAAGCTAAACTAAAAAATTCCATGAAGTAAAGCACTTATATTACCTGCCCGCAGAGTGAGACCTGCTCCCAAGATCTCTGGAGCGTCTGAGCCATCGTCCCACCACCTGCTCCACTCGACTGGTGCGACGTGATGGGGACCTGCTCCTGTCCTGCTCTTCCATTTACCTGTATCCACAAATACAGCACAAACACACAAATAATAATAAACATGTGAATACAGCAAATATTGAAGTGATCACAAAGAGAGTGGGACTTGGGGGTTATCCAATATGAGCTGGAGAGAAACATGATGTCATTCGTGGCCACATTGCTGCTAATAGGCTCTTAGCCAAAGTGATGAGCCAATGGTCTGTGTTTGGAGACTGAGTTGATCAAACGTCAATATCGATACTTCATAATTATCAAGAAACTGCTGGGGTTTTGTTTTTGGAGGTGTGGCCTGTGTGTAATAAACCCGGTATGGAGTAACAAAGAATATACTAAATCCTATACAATAAAAATATACAAGACTTAAGTAATAAGTAATAAGTACTTGGTAAGTTATAACTGGATAATTGCTTACAAAAACAAGGGTGATATTTGTGCATTTTCTGATTCAAACTTTCTTTCAAAAATGGTGGAAAAGAGAAATCTAGGCCTTTCCCTGCATCTGAAATTATGAAATCATCATTGTAACCAACAGATGCAGTACAATTTTTGCTTACTCCATGAAATGTTAAATGTTTTAAATGTAAAATGAATGTAATTTAATAAGTATCTTCTCAGAATTTATCTATATTTAAAGCTTTGGGTTGCAGATGGGGCTGAACTGTCATCACGTTTGATTAATCCAGATTTCTGATAGTCATCCACATCAAACTTAAATTTCCAACTCAAAATCAGTGCCATATAACGTAAAAAAGTCACATTTCTTCCCCCAAAGTCAATCTCTTCTTTTACTAAAAGGAAATTGCCTGTAGACTTTAACATAATTAAAAAGCCCTAGTTGTAGAAATATTGAAAAAATGTCTACAGCAAGCACAATTAAATGAATGAATGAGACATGAGAAAGTTGAATGGACATAATAATAAGGAAAAATGTGTTTGTACAGAGGCTGTTGTAATGTGAGAGAGAATGATGTCAGCTCTGTCCCAAAGAGCAGCTGCAGGAAGGGATCTCCCACACACACATTAGCTCCATTAGCATTAGCACCATCCATTATTACAGGAAACAACATGAGCAAGTGCTTACTACTAACACGGGGATAACAAAGTTTATTTATGTATTTATTTTTTACTATTTATAGAAATTATTTTTTCATAAATTTTGTTAAAAAAAGTGATCAATTACATTTTCCTAGATACAGAGAAAACACCAGGCCCCTTCTCATTTCATGGCACATTCAGTCACCAGAATACAATGCCACAGTGTTGTGTCTGTGTGTAAAACAGTTTTGTATGTCTGATATGATGACCTTGTGTCACAGGCAAAATATTACCCTCATGACTACGTGAAGTCATGCACGATGTGTCAGTACTTTTTGAATGGATTATCCTCTCATAGGTGCAGGACCCCCCACCAGAAAAGTTACATATCTTATCTTTAAGTTGAGAGAATATAATATGAAAACAGTGATTGTCTGTGGTAATCTGAGAGGCGTAAGTGCGATGTGTCCCGGGTGATGGACGTGTTGAGTGACAGAGTGGAGCAGGGAGGTCAGTCTCTGGGGGGGTCTCTACTAATAAGCACATTATCCATCTGTCTGCTCTGCTCTTCCTTGTCTCTTTCTCTCGATTTGGTTCCTCCTATCTCCCTCTATCTCTTCTGTATCACAAGTCTCAAGTTACAAAGACACAGAGCACACACTGTACAGTAAAATAATGCAGAGGTCAAGATTTAAAAGCAATGCCAACCCCAGTGCATCTTAAGAAAACACCAAGGAGCAACAAGATCATGAGCTAGTGAAAGCTTTTACCACACAACCAAATCTACAGTGAACTGAGATAACATCATTAGCCACTTTAACAGTTCACAATGGAACTTTTTGCCGGAGGGTTTGCCACCTACTTATCTCCATGGAGATAATCAATAGAATAATATATCGGTAGTAAATGCACAATAATATTTTAAACTTAATTGTAGAGACCATTAGCCATAGGGGACAATATACGGATATACTTAACTTTATAGAAACAAGGTTTATTCATGTGCTTCAGAGAGATAAAAGTTAGCGCCATTGCTACAGCAATTAACAATTCAAAATAAAATATTCTACCTACTGCATCATGAAAAAATGCCACACTTAAACAGGAAGCTGAAACTCATGAACACAGTCTCTAGTCTTGGTTGGACTGGTTTCAAAGATAATTTATTGTAGAAAAAGAAGATACATTTGTCAATGGGCCAAGTAATCCTATACACAAAATATTTACTTTGAAATATTAAGTAAAGATTTGATCCTGAAGGTACTGAATTTAAGTAATTAAACTTGTTATTTTTACTTGCTTACATTATATTTTACTTGCTATAGTCAAGTACTTGTGTGTCTTAAAAGAGTGTGTTGTAAAATGCACAAATATTCATAGATAGATTTGAAATGTTTCATATCACACAGTTGGATTAGGACCGTGACACAGCAATAATCCCGTCTAATCTCAAACATCCTCTCCTTCATGTAAGAACCTCTGATAGACAACAGTGCAGTGGGTGGTGTGATCTCAAACTCGGAGCTAAAAACACAAGCCATTCTGCATTTCCTCTTTTGCCACCACAGCATTTGAGATAAGAGTGCACACAGGAGATGTCGGCAGATTTTTTCTAAACATGTAACTTTATACAGGGCTGGGAATGTTAGACTTTGCTGTTGAACTAATCACAAGTTCATATTTCTCTGTGCACGCATCTTCCTCTTTCACTTGTGGCTGTCTGACCCATTGGTTCACCTACAGCTTTTAACATGAGCACAGCTACTGACCATTTCAATGTATTTGGAGTAAATTATATACTGCTATACTGCTAATTTTATACAATTATTTTAAAGAAATTGTGTGACTTGAAGATATTGGTATGCGTGTATTTATTTGTAAACTGATCCTCCATTTTTTCTTTTTGTTGATTAGGATTGGAACAGTTACTCACAATCAGTGTAAGTAGTCAAAATGATCATGATCAGATTTTCATAATTGTTATAGTTATTCTACACCTAAACTAAACAAACTCTTAAAGCACATACCAATGGACCCTTTACAGCAAAGACAGTGACACCATTAAATCAAAATGTCAAAAAAGAATAATCTATTTCTGATTTCCACCAGTATTACAGTCACCATATTTCAAACTTCATTTGTTAAAAAGTAATAAAAAAGCTTGTTTGACAAAAAACAAAAACAAAAAAATGAACTAGTCAATTATTCTAAAATATGGTTGTGTGAACAGTTAGTATTACGTAAAATAGGTGATGAAATGTAACACTTAATTGTAAAGATCTATACGTACAAAAAGAAATGTTGGTTCATTCATGTCATGATTCATGCACTTAATGATGATTTGTTCAGTGTTCACATTTGTCTAAGGTTTGAGAAAATATGCTGTATGCTGATATTGGGTGGCAGGATGGCATGGCGGTTTCCTGTGTAGAGTTTGCATTTACCATAGATTCCAAGTAAAATTGATATGCAGATGCTAAATAATAAAACTAGCAAAACTATTTACTATTTTGAACCAGTTTTAGAATAAGGCCACATAATAATATTAAAGAAACTACTATAACATCATAATATTATAGAAAGTACTACATAGTCATATTAAAGTAGCTACTATTGCTGACCATTACTTTTTCATTATCATTGTGGAGTCAAATTGATATCATACTGAGTAGAGACCTTTTTCCTTACAATAGAAATCAAGTTTGAAATTTTAGCAGACTCTACTCCACTCTGAGGCCAAATTTAATCTTGCTAATCTGGGCATGCCTACCTATTCCATTTACAGTCTATTGCATGGTGCATAAGGAGCAGAGCCAAATGACCATACGATTGATTGCCTTGTCACAGCATAAGGGACTGGGAGCAGCCAAAAAAAGAAATGATTCAATACCCCCTCTCTATCCAAAATCACTGATCTATCTATGTGGTATTTTCTTCGTCTCACTCACACTGGATGACAAATATGTCCTAAAAGTAATGACCACCAGGCAAAAGGCAGGGCTAAAGATGCTGATAAAAGAACTGCGATGTTATCAAAGCACCCCATTAGCAGTGACCTGATGGCTATTAACTCTACACCACTAGACCCCATACATCTAATGAAAAAGTCAACAAGGGACTGCACGCCAACAACATAAGTTATATCTACTGTATATAACCCTAGTATACATTTTAATGCAGTGGCTGGAGCTGGACTCAAAACAAATGAAGCAATGGCCATGTGCTTAGTCAGCTGTACCGATCCCCTGCACTGCTTTCTGGAGAGCTACATTCATTCATTTCTGTCTCTTTTCCATTGTATTGTACTGTCTGCAGCTACAGTAAGTCAATTACGGTGTATTTATGTAATTTCAGAGTCTGCAAACAAATTATTGGCTTGTATTGTGATCCCTATAAACAATATGAACAATGTGTGTAACTGAACATAATGAGACAGGTCTTATGTGCTTATGGATCGCTGCATCATAAACTAAATCTGTTTATTGAGTCACAGTAGCTGCAGAGATCTGTGATAGCCAAGCCTGCAACAACTTGATGTTTTATTTAAGCTGGGGACACTCAGTTATACTAACAAATGAAATCATGATTATTTGAAACAACTGTTAATGTGTGTTTTGGCATTCATGTTTTAAATCACTCAGGATTAGATGGGTACCTCTGTGGGGCAGAATGAAGACTTATATCATCATCATCAACAGAAATCACTTAATTGTTGTTTATTATTAGACTGAATTCTACAAAACAAAAAATAAGTGGTTGGCTCAATCAGTGCATAAAAAGAGTTGATAGTTTACTGTAGACTGTATAATAACAACCAATTACTAGTGAACTAACTATTCTTCGAGAACTGATCCATAACAATTGGAGTTACATTTTATACAAGTTTTACTAAACATGTCTCTTGTTATTATTTACCGAACTGCCAAAACACATTAATAGTTTGTAAAACTTGTTCAGTGACGATGGCAAAATCACT